GTGATATTTTTTAAAATTATTTATTGTAATATTTTATTACGTGTTATGAGGCAGATATTTCACTTATTAATTTACTTCTCACCAAAAACAAAATAAATACCCATAGCTTATGTCCTTGTGAAATTTTTCTCATAGAAAGGTCCAAGATTTTGTTGAATCTGTCGTCGATTTTTTCGGCCGTGCCCTAATATGCCGTTATAGGAAGGAATGTGTCATAGACGAAAACCTGTTTCCCAATCTATATCCTTTATGAATAAAATATTTCTTCATTAAACAAAGAATGTTTTTATATGTGACTTATCGTTTTCCATCATCATCACTAAAATATTGGTTTTAGCAAATTTCCAGCAATAATGGCTGTTTAAATTTAACCTGGTCGGAGGGGCTGACATGTAAAAAGTTTCTAGTCGTTTGGATGGGACAAAAAACTATGGCCCCTCGACAGTTGGAAATCGAAATAAAGTAGGCTAATGCCGCCGTCCTGGCAAAATGTGCCTCATAGCACAGTGCAACGAGTTGCTCGTGCAGTAAGACGTAAAACTCTATTCAGTTCTTTAAATTTCAAATCAATCCTGTAGTAAAATACACTGCACAAATGTTTATGAAAAATTTCGTTAAAAAAAATCTCTGAAAGTATGCGGTCGATTGGCGGTACTGATTAATTAGAAACATATATATTATTTATACACTGAGAACGCCACTTACATAGTTAAGTTTCTACTTACATGATGGTTCCTATTGAAAGATGTGAATCAAATGAGCAATACAATGAATCTACTTACACGTTGGAAGCCAATCTGGAGCTTTTAATCGAACCTTTTGACCTCTTGTTATCTGATATATTTTGACGTGTCCACTATAACATGAACTAATATGTAAATAATATTATGACCACGTGTAATCTGTGTTAGTTTAATGACATAAACTGATATACCCTCTTTATTCAGATGATATAATACTGATAGTTAATCTTTATGTACATGCAATTTTCTTCGACAAAGCCACTTGCTTAATACGAAAGGGGGTGGGGGTGGGGGTGGGGGGGGGGGGGGGTTGTCGGATCTAGCAAAGTACGGCTATCTCGGAAGGAATTATGGATGATAAAATAAAAATGTAAATATTAACATCAACAAAAATGATAAAAGATACCGGTAAATGATAATATATTATATTATATTAATACATTTTATAAAAATATTCACAGTGTGCTTATTTAGCCTAATAATGTCGAGTCGTCAATCATCAATCAGTTTTTACCATTGTAAATGACCGGGTAATTTCGGCTGTGAATGCCTTCCTGAATGCGGGTTATCGTCAAGGCTCTCTCTCTTATGATGAGTACGTAGCCCTTTCAGTTGTAGGTATTTTATGACTGTCCTATGGCCAGTTTCGTCCGTGTGATTTCAAAGGGTAGTTAACAAGATGGTCTGGTACAGAACTACAGTTGCAATGTCTATCATTCGTTAAATGATGGTACTTACTTGTCAGCGACAAAGATTTTTCAATCCGATTTAGATTTGCCACTTAAGCTTAGAACTTTTCAGCCAACCATAGTAACGTTTTCATTTCCTGCATTTAAAAGTTTATAGTTCAAGGGAAGTAACTCTCTCAAAAATATGGATAAAATCGTGGATAGGCCTACTAAGATAATAATATTCAAGCATTAACTGCTATTAGAGGTTATGTATAACATCTCCATCGGTCCATCTGATAGTGTATTCTGGATATTTTGATATTGTGGACTATTAAAAATAATAGTTTAAACTATAGAATTGGAAGGATTTTAAAGAAGAACTTAAATAGGATGAAACTACAAATGAGGAAAAGGAAAATTTGGAATCACATATTCTTGCTTTGAGAATATTAAAACCAATTATTAAAATATAAAACCTCGATAAATTGCAGTTATTTCCCTTGGCTTGGCTTGCGTATATGCAGCAAAAAACAAAACCTTGGACAAGTTTTCGGATGGTTGAACCCCGTTTCTAAGCTTAGTGTTCATGGACAATTGGCCCCAGACTTGCGATGTACATACATGGACAGCTTGTTCCACTTTTTCAGGCTTACTATCCATACTCACATGGACATTTGTTCCTCAATCTCGGGCTTACTATGCACAGACATGGACAGTTAGATAAAATACACATAGGCTTACATGGACAGTTGGCCACTATTTCCATGCTTACAATACACATACGTAAGGGCAGTTGGCCGATATTTCCAAGCTTACTGTGCACATACATGGGCAGATGGGCAATCTTGAGCTTATTGTGCACAGACATTTGGCTCTATTTCCAAGCACTGGTATGGACAATTGATCCCTATTTCCAAGATTACTATTCACAGACATGGAAAGTTGACCACTATTTTAAAGCTTACAAAATATATGGACAGTTTGCTCGCATTTGCGTTACACCAGTTTCGAAAATATCAGATTTACTAGAACATTATCCTTGGTGTTAAGAAAAACTAGATTTTGTGTTCACAGGAACACGTGGGTGTGCTAGACAGTGTTGACTGTGGTGTAGAAATCAGGGCAATTTAAACCTGTCCTTGATTTAAAACATTTGAACACTTATGCCCTTAAATATGACGTGGGTGATCTCATAAACATGTCAACAACACCCACATCGAATGGGCCATTTTTAAAAGTGAACTAAAATATTACAATACAAAAATACTGTCTCAAAATAATCAAACAAAGAGAAACGTATACAAGTAATATTTTGTTTTAAAGGGGTTGTACAGAGTTTAATTTTTGGTGAACACTGGGGACACTGATCGTTTAGCACCATTCGAAGTTTCAATCAGACGTCCGGGTCCTCGGTCATTATCCAATACGTAATGCCCTTGGTAGGGTCCCACCATAAATACCTAAATACTTAGGCATACTTTGGTATATTTTTGGGAGAGAGAGAGAGGGAAGGGGGGAGGGGCGGGGGGGGGGGGGGGCATTAGGGCATTTCCACCAACCATTGACCAATAATATTTTGGAACATCTACAGTTTCTTGGTTTCAATTACCAATCATACAATTCATTTTAAAGACTTGTACCGCAGCCTCACTGTGTACGCCCGGAGGTGCTCGCAGATATTACTTACAGTCTTTCACACAAGAAGAACAAGCAGCACATGGAATGACCAAACATGATAGGAAGACGCACACGGCGTATTTTTCTCTAAATATGGTAATCACTATACAGAACATGATTCTTCGACATCTTTTTAATTAGAAGGAATCAGCAATTATTCCGATCATACCGTATCGTTCCTAATAAAAAATTTTGATGGCATGTTCACGTGGACCCATATCCACAATGTCAAGCTATTCTGAACTTGTTCTTATATCTAATGACTTATTTTTTACATGCTGTCTGTCAGGGTCTCTTGATTGGCTATATTCACTAGCGTACAATCCAATCAAATCGCTGCGTTTACAAACTTCTGTCATACACGAAAGGTGACTATTGCTGTCAAGGTATTAGACAAAGTTTGTAATAGCTTGACATCGTGAAGATGATAATGGATTATGATGATACCCACAGTGGATTATAACTAGACCATTCACTTCATCTTCAACAGAGAAAAATTCTACAAGTTTGAACTACATTGTCACTCGGAAAAAATTTGAGTGTATACAGAAGTGTTCCCCTATTCCTTTTAACAATCTCTTTAACATAATATAGAACAAAAGATCAATCAAAATATTGACTTTTATATTCACTCATGAAAGTTGTGATGCATTGAAATCCACTGATTTGAAAATTTTCTCTGGAGTCCCATATTCCCTCTTTGATAATTTATCATGCAAGCAATAGATATACAAACACGAATATAAACAGGTTTTTTTATTCAGATCATCAAATAACAATTTCATTAAAGATATCAATATGATCATATCCCTACCAATCCCGGGAGCTCATAGTCCAATGAGCTTGGACTTCCAGTAACGTAATATTGCAATATATTTGACACTGTGTGGTATGCAATTTTATATGCAGTAATAAAATATTGAATCTTATTCAGCTATTATTTATTTTAAAATGTGCACAAAATGCAATAGCACATTGAATTTGACTTGTAAATCAAACCAATAATTGGTTGCAGTTGGTTTCTAGCATAGGTGGGACTGAAATTGGCACAGACTGCTTCGAGGCAATTTTCAAGTCAAACTTAATTCACATCAAAGAAAAAATTTGTTCATTGATCTTGGGATTTTTTTGTTGTGATTTATTTCCGAAAAATAAAATGATATTAAGGCGTAACTCAGAAGTGAAATATTTTTGGTTGAATTGCCTCTAAGGGATGTTTAGTTATCCAATAAAGATTGCCATATTAGATAACGGCGATACACCTAGTACATGAGATTTTTTTTGGATAAAAATCAATAATTAGGCTTACATAGGTTTACAGATGCAGTTTATAATTTAAAAAAAAGGAATTATTCAATCTATAATTTATAATTTGAATTTAATAAGTTTGTCAATTAAACAAAATTTGTAAAAGAAAGAAAACATGCAAAAATTAAATACATGTATAAAGGCATCTTCATAATGTCAAGCTATTACGTTCTGCGTCCTATACATTGTCTTAACCAAAAAGGCGGCTATTACATTCAGGGCATAAGACGAAGTTCGAAATAGCTTGATATTGATAGATGGAATAAAGGTTTCTTTCATCTCATCATCACTGTCCTCCTTTTTAACAGTAGCTATCAGTGCTGTTCTCTGGTTAATTTATCCCTCTTTAATCATCATACTTCAGTGCTGATATTCCATTCATAACATTACTCTCACTTTGATGGCAGTTTCAAAAACAAGGAAACCATTTCATCATTAAACGGAATTCCACGACGCGTTTTGATCTCATTCCAGTGAATCGTTCCAGTGGTCACTCATTACGTCTGGACACATTACACAGACGTTGGCCTGTCCGATTCTGACCTCTCCAATCCGTCTGTGCACTATCTGATGCATTCGATTTTCGACATCATTAGATGCTTCAATACACGGCTATCGGAGTGCGTTCGAATAGTTGTTGTGGTTGTTTTAATTTGAATGGATCGTAAGGTTGATATACGTGTTCTGGGTGAGGTGCTGTGGGTACTGCAATGTTAGTATACGTGAGAGGTCTTATGTTTCCTACTTTTACGTCAGGTTGAGCAATGGTACTAACTCCAATTTCTAAATTGTTCCTCTGATTCTCCAAACTACGCGAACTTTTGAGGTCAAGAGTAAGAGACGTGAAGCCTGTATAAAATGGTAAAAGTATACATGTACCGAACATAACGAGTATTAAAACAGAATCGGGCATAAACAATATCACCAGGACAGTAAAAAAAGAAGAAAATAGGGTATACCCCCACAAATGTTTCAAACTAGACAAAAATGGATTAGACTTCTTAAAATCCTCCTCTACAGCTCTCTGTGGTACCCATTTTACAGAGGTGCTTACATTCGCTTGGATCGCGCGTACTATCCGAACACAGCCAACAAAGGCTTCTGGTGTAAACTGTAAGATGGACGCAACCGTTTCTATGATTACAAATTTATAGTTCTTACGCGTTGTTGTTGCGAATTTTGGAAATATCAGTACTAAAAACATCACAATTATAATCGAGGCATATCGGTACCTTAAACTAGTCTGATAATGTAAGAGAATATATAATAATAAAATAGGTTTCATAAACATTTGACGTAGAGCTGAATGGGCCACGTAGGAAGTCACAAAATCTAGCTTTGACTTAGTTCTCAAAGTCGTTTTTACAAATTTGTCACCTTGAAGTTTGGATTGTAGCCATCGCATTGGAACTCCTACCAAATTCTCCCAAAAGTAAAAAGCTAGTAACACTTCACCACGATTCCATCGTCTTTCACGAATGTTCCATGTAACGTAGTTATAAGATGGTGCTTCTAATAAATATACGGAACCAGCATACAGTGGCCGTAGAAGCGATGCCTCGAAAGTGTCATGACTTAAAACATCAATCGGGACACGTTCAATAAGATTATTTCTTCTTCCAATAACATTTTCAATGTAGACGGAATTCTTTATAAGACCTTTACCGAAAAAAGATGACTGAGAGAAATATGCCATGGTGGCATTTGTTAAAGGTTCGAATAAAGATTGTCGCATTGATTCAAGATGCATGAACATAGTGTCTCTACTGGTACAATGTAGTTTAATGGAAGGTTGGATGATACCACGCTCTGGGTGAGCTGCAGCAATTTCCATGAGATCAAAGGTTCCCCCTTTAGGAACTCCTGTATCCCCATCCAACACTAGGGTGTAATCGAGTTTTCGTTTATAAATTCTTTCAACATCAACGGAGTCGTGAAATAAAGTTTGCCCGTACGGTCGAGCCATTTTTCCATAATATTCAGGATCACAATAAGAATAAGCTTCGTCATCACCATCCGAGAGCAACATAAGATCTTGGTATTGTCCGCACTTTCTTAACACACGACTGGTTCGATGAATCACCATGAAATCTTTAGCAAAATTATCACAAATTTGATCTAAATATTGTCTTACGAAAATATTAGGTTCAACGTCGTCAAATTTTTTCCAGACATGTTCATAACGAAGAGGTTCCACAGAACTAAAGTCTCTGGAGGCGTAATTCAGACCTTCTCGGAATAATTGGTCGTAAATGGCACAACGATAATTATCGCGAACTTCTAGTTCATATTGTTTCAAATCCTCATCTCCTGTAGCTGACACTAACACGGCACAAGTATTCGCCGAAATGTTGAATATATAAGCTTCATACATGGTTTGCAGACATTCGTCAATGTCATCTTTACTGAGAGCTAAGAGGTTGTAATTTAGACATAAGGTTAAATGATCACTCCGACTTCGTTTACTTTGTCTCTGATTGCCTCCGACTATCAACGTCACTACGGTCATAACGGGGAATTCCAAAACACTGCCTTGTAATATCCCTAGCACTATTACCACTAGTATTCCTTGAAATATGTTTGTTTCCGACCAATCCAAGTTCATAATGTTTAAAATTACGAAACACAACGCTAAAAAAATCCATGTTGAAAAATATAAAAACACTCGCCTATTTTTGTTCATAGTAATTTATGTTATTTCCAAAAGCCACGGAATAAAAATTACTATTTTCTTAAAGTTTACCACAGAATCCGAAAAATGTCAGCAGAGTGCATCTTGCATTAATTACTCGTAAAAATAGTAAGTTTTAAATGCAACGAAAACAAACTGTTACTAATTTAAATTAAATTAATTTCATCTCACGTAAACCAAAAAGTATATTTCAATGTTACTGTGTCAGGTCCGATTGGTTTGTTACTTGCAGTACCAGTAATTGATGAAGCTTGGTAATTAGTGGTCCGTATTGTGTAAGGTGATGTTCGATATAATCTAAATTGTGATAAGTTTTATTTTATATACCGTGATTTACAATGCAATATGGGGCGAGGTCTGTATTTAAAAGTTACTATTTGTCTTGTTTGCATTTCGAGTTATTCTCCCACTAAGTTACAGTTGTGTTGTATTGTTAAAATGCTTCACCTGTTTTCATATAATTACGTCAAAACTCGGAGATAAATGACATCATTGGGCAATCCCCGGAATTCCGACTTTCATAAAGACCTCTGACCCAGACGATTCATTCTTCGTGTGGTAAATGATGTCTCTCTATTGTATAACGACGCGCCCATTTCTTCCTTTCTGTCCAATCACAGATCGAATAAATTGAGTATTGGTGACGCGATCATTGTTTACCTTCCATGCTATCTGAAAGGACAAAAAAATCTTATGATTTTCAATATTTATAATCGTGATCTACAGAAACGTGAAACATTGGATTATATGACCCTTTCCTTAACCCAAATTCTAATATTAGATTACAAACTGTGATATCGTGATGTGGTGATCCATTTAATATAGATTTTCTAAGAAAAATCCGTGTGAAAAGTTCTCATAACGCTATCCAAACATACTTCCATATTAAACATGGTTTATGAAATAAGACTATAGATATTATGCATACACGCCTTGTTTTATGTCTGTATTATGTTAACTATGTCGCAATGATATGCACCCGAGGATATTGCTGTCTGTTTACTTTTGTCTATGTCATTGATTCTTTATGAGAAAAGACAGGGACGAAAGTGTGCGCCTTGTGGCCATTGATATTATGTATTATAGTGAGTTTAGATAAATCAACTGCTTAAATTCCTCAGGTTTCAATAATATAATATGTCATTGATTATTTACAAGAACGGACAGGGACCAAAGTGTGCGCTTTGTGGCATTTTAAATTTTTCAAATATATTGGAATATTATGTATTGTAGTGAGCTTGGATAAATCAACTGCCTATTTCTCATGTTTTCATTACTCCTAATTATCATTTTGTTGTAAAAGATTTGATTTATATATTTTCTGTTTTAATCTATTTTTTAGCATTTTAGTAACCGACCTATAATGTCTGAATTAATTATGTCCGGAAATGAATTGGTCATCTTATTCTTTCTTGAGGACAATAAATTTTAATTAAAGGATTGTTAAACTTTCTAAAGTTTTGGAAAAAATAAATAAATTTTTGACTCGCCTTAATACTTACAAATTGCTCAAGCGTTTCCGTATATTGAAAATTACTAAAGAACTCTTAAACGCCCTCTGAGACTAACTTATAAATAATATTGTTTAGAAAGGGAATGATATGTTTTGTCAGTATGTAAATGTTGTTTAATTCAAAAGAAGTTATGACATCATACTGTGCAGTAAAAGTATTAGTTATTTACAATGAGGTTTAAAAAGAATGCATTTCAATGATAAATCCATGATCATAGATCGCTGAATGCTTGAGGCCATTCAAACTTCATTACCTTTTCCCTTAAAAAGAAAGGCGTTATTTCAATAGTTTCGATATTATTCATTTAAAGTGCAGATTGCAGGGTGTGCATTACTGACATGCCCTGTCGATATGACTATCAAGTTTTACCGATGCATTTTGATTGATGTTCAATGTTACCGTCTGATTAAATTCTGCTTCTTGCATATCCCTAACCGCAAATGAAAATCCATATAGTTAAACTTGTTTTATCACGAATCTTTTCTTTTTGACCTAGGTCAGTGCCTTTATAAGACTACGTTCTCATCACCATCCATCACCATAAAATATAAATAATTTCACTCCATCTTAAAATACACAATTCGGTCAAATATACGGGTATAAAGTTCATGTGTATTTCAACAAGAGTAAAATACAGGCAAAATAGAAATAAACCAACATCAGTGGTCCCATTTGACAAATGAATAACTCATTCTTTAAATCAATCATATTTCACGATTTGAAATTTGATCCAATGTCAATATATTATGCATGCATCTTCACAATTTACAGCTATTACAAAGCTAATCAATTCGCTTCTTTTAGAAACTTCTGTGTCAGGTGGATATTGCAGTCAAGGTATAAGACGATGATCGTAATAGCTTGACATTGTAATGATGTTATGCATGGTGTCATGTCGAATCATAACCTATATTTCACACGCCAAGTATCGGCAATACTTTCTACTTTCTCAAGTCAGATATCCTCAACTCATTTCTGAAACGTTCTTAGCAAAAGCTGGGTAGTGAGTCATAGAAAGTCTGGTATTATTACTACAATGGAATAAATATTAACAATCGAAATATTGACAACAGGATATTGATAGTCTCATCAGCACATAAAATATTCCATTTATAGACATTCTATGTTCCTGAAACTTTTTAAGTACAAATTACTATTATAGATGAAAACTGAAATACTAGACACTGATTGAAAGGGTAAATAGACAAAGGGATTAAACATGTTTAAGGGTTAATCCTAGATTATCTTCATCAAGGCGATTGTTTGCTTCTGATTCACAATACTTGTGTCATCATCATCTGATAAAAATCAGTCTGGAATACCGATCAGCGGGCACCCGCACTCACCATCCTTCGATGGTCAAAACGACAAAAATATTTACTTTGGTAGGTCGACATTTGAACTAATCAAATATATTGTTTTAAATTTAGATCGCCAATGAGACCTTATTATGATCTGGTAACAAACGAAGCAAATCAAACAAGTAATTTAGTATCTCTTTAATAAGGGCAATTTATGGATTTTATTTTTGACTTGCTAGCATGAGTATAATTTTTTCTTAAAAGATAAATTAACATCTGGTTTTGAGGGTTAAAAACTGAAACATAGAAATTTAAACATTTTTCTATTCGTGGGCTTTATATTATATTTCTACGAATTCCTGCTAGAAATATTTTCTGTATTATATCCACGTCAAATCCTTTTAGAAAAAGGGTCAAGGGGGAAACTTATTAGGTAAAAACGAGCATGAGATGAAAAATTCCTTATTAGATCTACGACAATGAAAATGCAACCTCATAGAGTGTTTTGTTTAGATTACTCATATTTCAAAGTAAGGTCTCTGGAGGATTGTAAGGTACAAGGGTGAGTACACGTATCTTAGAGGGATTGTAAAGAGGTTTTCTAAAAAAAAAAAAAAGTTTGTGTATCAGTCAAATTATACCACCAATTTGTGCTATTCCAATTTTCGGTCAGACTTCAGAATCTGTGGTGCCTGTAAATCTATTAAAACTATATGTTTGATGACGTCACTATAGCAAAATCTTCTGATATATCACTAGGCCCTTTCAAAGCCCTATATATATTGTGAAGTCACAAAACACTTAGTTTTAGTGGAATTGCAGGAACCACAGACGTCTGACTAAAATCAGAATGGTGGAGATTGATGCTATCAGTGTCCTAGATACACATGCAAAATTTTAGAAAAACCCTTTTTACAATCCCTTTAATAAATATATTTTACATTCGCCATAACCTGCTAACCCAATCCCATTTTTGTGTATAACTGTTACTAATTTTAGAATGATTTATATATAAAATGGGCGAGAAAGTGACAATAGAGTTATTTATCAATGAAACTGGTCCGATATCACATCATATAGTCGATCACGCTATTCCCAATTAGTTTTAAAATAATTGTTGTGTCCAATTAAATAACAACTAACCAATTGAGGCATCACATAGTTTAATATATGCTGTGCACGTTAAAGATCTCTCGACAGGTGGAAATTGAAAAAGAGAAAGCTAATGCCTCTGTCCTGGCAAAATTTCCCCCATTGCACCCTGCTTGGCGTTGCCCGTCTTCGTCTAGCTCACGTGGTGCAGAAAAGTAGGACGTAAAATTCATTCCATTTCATTTTGTGTAATTTGTTGTCTCTTATGTAAATTCTGGTTGTTGATTTTTACAACCCTTCCACAAAAATATCATTGTTTGATTTTGTATTTATTAACGAAGATTGTAAAACGAAAAGGAAAAACAATGGTAATGCTAAAAGCAAATTATCAAATTTGTTTTGGATTTTAGTGAGATTAGTGTGAAAACGAAGTAATGATAAACTGAAACGTAACAAATATTATCAAAGACAAAAATATTCAATTGTATAACATTTATTATTTATAAGTAACAAATTCTATACTTAAATATAATGTTACAAAATTTACTCCATTGAGATATAACAGACAGTTCAAAATTTAAAATCAAATATAATACTAAAAAATGTAATGTAACAAACCTGAAGACGAAGAAAATCCAATCCAACTTGAAATGAGAATTGAAAGATGAATGTGAAAGGAAAACGATATTAAATTTATAAAGAAAGGGATAGTTTAAAGTAAGACAGTTATCAATTAATTTTATCAGTTATAAAATAGAAAGCGAAATGAATAATATTTGTCTTAAGGCCCAATCTGAAATACAACAATCAAGGTGTTACATTCAGTCTATGATGAGAAAACATTGTTCAAATATGATGATGATCTGATGACATATTTTGATATGATAATGAGTGATGTTAGGTACATGATACTGATTGTCCTAGATGACTAGAGCTCAACTTAAATACGACAAGGAATGCTTGTAATGTTGTAATTTGAAAATCGAGAAAATAAATCCAATATTCAGTATATTATGGGCCGCACATTTTGATTCTTACCAGATTGTAGACTGGTATGACTATAAGAACGCACAGATCACAAACTCACATTTTCAGTTTTGATATTTTACGCCCCACGTAAAAGTTTCAACTGGCTAATACACACCTGGGCTTTTTATTCAAATTTGTGAAAACTATACACCAAATTGTGTGAAATGTGTCCTTTAACATACCTGAAAGTTTTAACTAAATATATCCAGCCGTTAATTCTTTTGCGACAAAACTTTTTACAAAGGTTACGTAAGCTTGTAAGATTCCTTACTCTGTTTGGAAGGTGTAAGAGAACCAATGTACGGATTTTAGCAAAATAATGCCCATTTGTTGACAATATGCCTCATTTATGAAATTGGTCCTGAACGTGATCAATTATCTTAGTTGTGCTTTATAATTACCTGATGTAGCCATTCTGTAACCTTTCAGCATATCCACTCCCTATTCACGCTGCCACTAGCCGTTTACTCCAAATGCATTTCACAAAGACGCCCGGTTGTTCCTACCATCGAATGGTACAACCTAGACGTCATTTAACAATTTGTTACAAATTATGAGTGGGAATGCAATTATTCAATTTTTTTTAATTTCAATTAACGTTTTATTAATTACAACAGAACAATTAAATATCACAGATGACAAAACGACTTATAATAGGAAAAAAGTCTAGTACAACCTTGCCTAAGTTATTTCTAAAATTTACACCAAATTATTATAGTCTACTACAAACCTTCAACATTTTCAGTTTTTAACATCGATTATTCATTATGAGGTTCTTGATCTTTCATTGCATTAAAGTTGTTAAAAACTTCAAGCCTTTGATGAATAGTTTAGACAATATTTTACGTCTAGTGGCGATTCCATAAAGCAGGTAGAGGGCCGAGTGGGGTCACATAATTGTAGAGTGGGGCCAATAATACCATGCATTCAAGAACTAACGTCTGGTTAGCCAAATTTCTTGTATCAATGCAACATAATACATACACAATGTATAAATATATTAAGGTGTGTAAATCTTTTAATTCCGTCCCATCCCACATGGGTGACTATATTGTAAATAGTCCAAGAGAATTTTAAAAACTGAACCCCTGAATCCATTATTATGCCCACATACTAAACTTAGATTTGTTACAATTACCAGACTGAAACTCAATTATACGGTAACCTTAAGTCTGAGTTTGAATTTTTTCATTCAATGAACGCAATATCAACTCTCTATGATTAGCTTGCATGTGTCTTATCAATGTAGCTTCGGAGGCATACCCCTTCTTACAGTGACCACAAGTTAAAGGTGACTTCTCTTTATGAACATGTCTTTTATGTCGATTCAAATCACCTGAAAGGAATGAATGCCAGCCATTAAAGTACAAGCATGGATAAAATCTTGATGAATGCCCCAGCCACGGGGATTAAATGAGCAAGATTGTAACATTAAAAAAACCAAAAAAACTGAGAAAAAAAAATTGTACTGAATATGAAAATATGAAACTTTTGCAAATCCAGTTTGATCTAATTTTTATTTTTGAAACTCTTCGATGACGAAGGAGATTAATTAAATCTTCTGCTTCAATATAATGGACATAGATTGATATTTACTGATTAACTGTTTGTCATATATCATACAGACCTGACTGGAAGAATTTTTTATCACATTTATCACAAGGATGGGATCTTTCTCTGGTGTGAAACCTCATGTGAACTTTTAAATCAGAATTTCGAATATAACCTGAAGAAGAAACACAGAGAGACTAAAAAGATACTAGAGAATAAGAGATTTAGAATGATGAAGCTTGAAGAGAAAATTGAAAAATTTGGCATATCCCATGAAATTATGTTATCGTGACATAACATAAGTTACAATTTTCAAGTAATTTGAAGTTGTCTCACCTTTCTGGCAGACATCACATCGAAATGGTTCCTGCTTCATATGTATCAAGGTGTGACGTTTTAAATCACATTTCTGGAGAAATTTTCTATCACATTGATTACAGGTATAGCGTGTATCTTCTGACTGAAACATGTCAAAACAAATATTGCCTTCAATAAAACAGAAACTGAGCACAGGAAACCACAAAATAACAATAAACATTTGACACCATATTCTATTTTATTGGTTTCAGATTGATTTGATCAGTAAGAGTGTAAATGAGACAATTCAATTCAATGTCAGAAAAGCTATAAAGCTGTTTAAATTTAAACTTAAATACAACCACATACAATAATGAGACTTTAACTGCCAAAATATTGATATTAAAGAAATGTAAAACCAGGAAAGATCTCCTCAGAGGAAACAGCTACATTCCTGTATCTAGGATGGCTAGGATTATCTGACTTGTCAAAAGATTTGTAGATTCATTTTTATTGTAATAGTTTTTTCAGAAACAAGCTCTGGACTCACCTCAGTACAAATGCTGTGTATTTTTCTATGTCTGTAATAATTCCCTGCTTTAGTAAATGTAGCACTGCATAAATCACATTTCAAATGGACCTTTTCCTTTTTCTGTCTGTTTCCATAAGAAGGTCTTTTCTTCTTAGCAGGTGGTCCCTCTGCTAAGCTATCTTGATTAGGCTCTGCCAAATCTGTCTCTGGTATTGGCATGGTTTCTTCATCTACAATTGTGTCTCTTTCAGTATTCTGCATCTCCTCTTGTGCTTTTTCAGACTGCATATCATTTGCAGACACATCACAATCAATCTCATCAAGTTGATCAGGTCCTGGAGTGTGATTCACATCTTCATCTCCATCAACCTCATCCGCTTGGTTTTCGACAGGCATGTCATATTCTTCCGCCTCATTGTCCTGGTTATCTGGAATATCTGAGATATCAACTACAGTAGCAGCAGCAGAACAGGAGAGGTTGACTGGAGAAAGTTGTTCTGGTGGTTGCTGGACTGCTGAAGCATCAAGGGGAATAACTTCTGGTTGGTTGACATCAGGCTGATCTGTAGTTACAGTCTGAGTTGTTCCATCAGACACAGTAGTGTCGTGTTGTGGAAAAGAGATGATTTGAGACTCCATAGTTGTCAAATTAAGATTATCTCTAGCTATATTTTGTGGTTTGGAAGTCAGTAATGATAAAATTGATTTAATTGGAGGAGGACACATGCTGATGATGGAAGAAGTAGTGGCTTCTGCATCTGGTTGAGTTGCTGGTGGAATGAGGTTAACCAAACCACAAGGGTTTAATACAAATATACTTGGTGTATTCATTGCAATGGATGTTGAGGGCAGGATCATGTTATTCAAAACTTGTTGTTGATTCAAGTTCTTATTTAAAACAGCTGTCACAAAGTTTGCAGCTCCAATATTACCCAATATTACTGGTGGACTGGTCACATTCAGAGGAACAGACTTGCTCATCAATGTATTTACTTGTGGCTTGGATAAAGTGTCTATTGGCAATGCCTCATCTATATGAACAAAGGAGTCCGATTCTGTTGAATTAACAGTGCTGCTAAAAGAATAAGCAGTCTTAGCTGAATCAAAGCAAGATCCTACTCCACAGTCTGAAAGTGAATTTTCAAAAGATGTGGTTATAGACAGATCTAAAGGTGATTGAAGTTGAAGACATGTAGGATCTGGACTTCGGTCAATGTCCCGGTCGTGATGATATGTAGAGTGAAGCATGGTGTCTGTTTCAAATTTAGAGAAATCAAGACTGATGTCCTCTGTTTTGTCGTCTGATAAAGTTGGTGTCATCATTCTGGTAATGTCTGGACTAGCAGTTCCAAGATGAATATTAGATTGGGTTTCTGAGCTTCCATCATTATTTAAGCCTTTTCTCTCCATTTTCCAAGTAACCTAAGATAAGATAAAAAAAATTCGAAAATATAGTTACTTAATTTACCACGGCATGTGTCTCTTTTAGCTCTCCCATCAAACAAACTGCTGCGTTCATAGACAGGTGCGTCTTGTACTCGAACATTTACAAATAATGTTCAGTACTTAGGGCCTGCATATATTACCAGCTAAAAATAGACAGTCTATAAAGTAGGTTAGAAATAACAGCGAAAAGACGAGTTTCGCTGCCAAAATCTGTTACTGTACATCATGATTTGCAGTCTGAACTGACAGATTTTGACAGATGCTTCGCGGATAATGAAATGTACCTACTTCGCGGATTCAAAGAGAATGGTTACTTCGCGGATTCATGAAATTCCTTCGCGGATAATTTTCTTCCAAATTGTCAAATAACCCTGAAATTATTCCGCGGAAGCATATACTGGTATCACTCCGCGATATAGGCCAATCAAAATCCACTTGTTTTTCACATTACCATTACTTATGTTTTCTTTTTTTATACATTTTCTATAACTGCATTATATTCATTAATTGATTTTGTTTTAAAGAATTGATTTTAGAGATATTTTTTCCTAAAAATGTATATGATCTAAGGGAAATAACTCTTGTTTTCTTAATTCAATGTTCTTTAAAAAGACAAAAAATCTAATAATGGCATTATCCAACGACATTTTAAAAAAAATTATGATTTTGTAAACCCAATATAATGCTGATTAAACTTAAATATTATCCCATTTATTAATTTTTTTTCATTAATCATGGCTTCTGGGATATCTTCACAAGATGGCGGTTTGTGTAAACAAGTTCCCGGTGGAAAATTTAGAGTATTTTTAAATTCAACACAATTGAGCGTAAGTTGAAAGTGCTCCATTATATATTCATCGAATCGGTTTAATGCACTCTATTTTATGATGTCATTTGATAAAGATCCATCCCAGAATAAAGCTTTTTGAACTGAACCATAGAAAAAACGTGACAGGTTTTTAACCGGAAATGAAGTTTGCAGACGAATTTTTACATAAGTTAATTAGTTCAAGACGGTCATTGGTGATCCTATGAATCATTAGGTGAGGGTGGGAATGTGGTTCTAGTTGGGGCCGCAGAATTGCCATAGGGGTTCACAATTCTTTTCCTATGTTAAATGAAAGTGAGAGGGGTGGGGTACGGTACCCCATAGTTTTTGTGTTTGTTTATCTCAGCAGTGGGAAAGTTTTCTCGTAATAAAGTTGCCCCTTGATCTATGTCCATGTGCAACTGCATGAAAATAGATGGTTAGACCTTGGCACTGGTGTAGACTGTAGGATAAGACTTGAAGTTGAAGGTAGTGGCTGTGCTTATGAATTAGGTATGAGTTGCAGAGAAGAGCTCACAATGCTTTGTCATCTAGGGCTACTTGTTGATCAAAATATACATCATACAATATTAATCATCAACTTTTCATCTAACTTTCAGAGATCACATTAAATAATTGAAAGACCTACATGAAAATGGAGAGTTTTGTTGATAGATCAGAGAGAAAACTAAAATCTCCCCAAAGAGATCAAATGAAAAAATCTGGTGGTGCTTTGAATGGATCTGTTAGAGATGAGTTAAGAATAGACACGGAAATTGCTGCTTCCAGTATGGCATCGAGTAGATCACCAACATTTTTAACTGAAGAGGATATTGATCAGGCTGTATTTAGTACAACCAGTATCCACATGGAAAATAAAGTTTCAATTGACATCACCAGTCCACAACATTCCGACTCAGATGTCTTTTCTGGAAATTCACCAGTAGAAGATGAGATAAGTATAAAAGCATCATCACCAATCAAGACTGATGAAGAGGTCAGACCATATTTCACTCCAGGTTTTGCAATTAGAGCCTGGGCATTGGAAGATGTCAAACATAAAGATCATGGATCTAGTACTATCAAACATGTTGAACAGAAAGAACGAAAGACTAGCGTAACATCAACTCTTACTGTTAACAAACATAAAGATTTTCAATTAGAGAATATGACTGAAGTATCATCTTTGTCTATGAATATTGGAAAATCACCCAAGAGAGAGACAAACACCGTAGAAGTCACATTGAATAAACCATTAGATTATGATCTGGAAGATAGATCTCCACAAAAGAAAGAATTCTCACATCTTTCCTTTGATATAGGTAAATATAACAACAACACAGAAGATGTCATCTCTAAGGAACTTTTTACTGAAGCAGAAACAAAAAGTTCAACTCATACTTCCACTTTAGAACAAAACTTTTCACAGACTGCATCAAAGAGTCTGAAGACCAAACCAACAGAAACTGAAGATATTAGTAATGAATGGGTTGTTATTGAAGAACAATCAACACTTAATACTCAAACATCTTCCTCTTATGTTCCCACTGAATCATCAACAGTCCAGTCTAAAACATCTGAAGTTTTGTCTGCCAAGGTCCCACTTATTCCTTCTGTTCCGGTTGAAGTGGAAAGAAAATTCACAATCAATTCAGAAACAGAACCCTTATTGGTGAAGTTAGGAGCCAAAGCGAAGAGCACAAAAACATTTACTGATATATATTTTGATGATGATGATTATTCCTTAACTTTATCTGATTGTTGGTTGAGAAAAAGAAATAATGACTATCAGATGAAAATACCGGTGCCAAATAGTCCCATATTTGATCATTCTACTAAATACCAGGAACTTACCAATAATACTGATATCCTGCAATTCTTGAAGAAGAAATTGGGGGTGTCTTCTAATCAACTGTCTGGTTTGATACAAACAGCTAAAGTGATAGAATTTGCTAAGATTACAACAACAAGAAAAACATATAGCTTGAATGGTTGTGAAATAGATCTGGACATGACTGATCATGGTTTTCAAGTTGGAGAAATAGAGGTCATGGCTGAATCTCCTTCACAGATCTCTGAAGCTTTGAGAACAATAGAAAACATGAGTGTCAAATTAGGTAAGTCTTGAAAGATTTAACATTTTGTTTGCATTAAATATCACTCACACATTTCCATAAATTTGATTGAAACATTCTGTCCAAGTGTGAAGTTAAATGATATCATTCAGTAGGAATAAGCTTACATTAATTTCATTAATATCCTGGCCTTGAATTCAAGTCTGATTCATTTTTGTTATTACTCAGGTTGGAGAACTCTACAACTTGTTTCCTAGAAGGTATTTTGTCTTGTTTTCAATTTTTAGCTCTTTTACTACTTACTATTAACTTATGCTCTTAAATATTTTTTCTACCTACTGATAGCTATTTTTTAACATATAAGCTTATTAGATGTGCATCATTAACATATATGCATGCAGTAATATTTAATGGAACATTTCTGATGGGACCTAGTTGCTCTCCGTTTGAACAATCATATCTTATTCTCAGAATAGGAATTTTTTAGCTAAGGTAATCAGTAATAGTAGTCACAGCTCACAGTTGAAGATGGACTCGTCTTGAGACTCCACAATACATAGAAGAGACATACATAGAAATATAAATGTGGAATTGATGGACTTAAAGATCATAAAAAATATTAGAAATGTATTAATTGGAATCAGATTCTGTCAAAAAATGGTTTTCAGAGATCAGAAGGAAAGCAGCATGTTTTCATAACATTATAATTAAAATCAATTTAGCTTATTCATATTTTCACTGCATGATTCTATATTTTAGTCTGTGCTGTGTGATTGAAATAACATGAATGCATGCATGCCAGCTTTTCATGTATAATGTTAGCTAATTATACTTGGTAACATTGTATATTTAATTGTATTAGATTATTAGTGTAGTTTTAACATTTAGTGTGGAATATATGTCATTATTTATATCTGAAATAACCTTTAGTTGTTTGATATGACATGTTATTGTTCAATTTAGTATTTAGTTGTTAAAATAGGGTCTCTTTGTTATGACTCACTGTAAGGGAAACAAGTTGATATCTAGAAACTCTTTTTTTTTTATCGCATTATGTTTTAAAGAGATTAGGATATTTATACCAATTTTTACTTTTGACTATCATCTATCAATGATAGTAATGAATAAGAGTGAATTATAAAATTGATATATCTGGAATAGTGTTTCAATCACAAAAAATACCAGTTTAAATGGTTTTTTTATGTTTGAATTATTAACAGATCTGATCAAGTTTATCAACATTTTTAATGCATCTATTGTTGTGTATGTATTCCTCTGCTCTTCTGTATCTAGTTATCACCATCATTCTAATATTATTAACATGTTTATCAATATCTATTAATGCATGATAAGTTGTGTGTATTTAGTATATTCTATACCTGCATCTTGACTTGTAATCAAAACTAATCCGGGCTTTCCCAGTTAGCGAACTAAACAGTTTTCAATGATTTGTTACTGTAGTATAACACATTTTATTATTTAAGAATCTTTTCCTTAAAGCATACTAAATGTTATTTTTCTTTTTGTGGTCCGATTGCCAGTGTTCTCAAAATTAAAGCAAAAATTTCATATTGGCAGAGGTTTTTTTTATTGATGAAACTGAATCATTATTACATTAAAATTTGACAGAAATTAAATGTATTCATTATTACTTTTCAGGTTTATCAAGTGGTAAAGTGATAGCAGGGAAATTGGTAGATTACCTATATAAATATAATTATACTCATTATAGTTGTCTAGTGCAAAATGGTGTATTTAAACCTATAGATGATACTTGAATACATTTATTATTATTTTCATCAGGCCATAGAATTTGTCAATAAGATACAGATCTGTTTTCTGTTAAAATGGAGTTAGGTGTATCCTTAATGAATACATTAACCATTGAATGAAGTAACTAGGAAGAGATTAGATGAAGACTACAAAATTTTTTGAAATAAACAATATTTATTCTTTGGATGATTTCAGGAAAAAATTGAAGCTAGCAATATATACAAAGAAATTTCTTGGCCAGTAGGCTGGTAGAAAGCTACCTCTATATTCTTCCCATTATGCTTTGATATTATTCATATATTGCTTAAAATTGATATATTATTGGCAGTTATCTCATGGTGTAAAAGTGACAAAATCCACTAAATATATCAAAATACTGATAAATAGTATAGACTTAATTCTAAATTCAAACAAACCAATCTATTAAAAATTCAAGATAATGATATTATTTTTCTGTTGTTCACATTTAACTGTAAATTTACAGTCACATTTTGGAAGATCTGTTGCACTATATTCTGTGGCTGTTTTTTGTATTTTCTCACTTGAAAGACAGAAAAGTCAAAGGTAAAATTTATATTTGTGAAGAGATACTCAATTGTCTTGCCATATTCTCAATTTCACCCATACTGTACTTAAATTAGAGATCATTAAAATCAAAGGAATATTATGCTGTGCACACTTCAGGCTTTGAGTTGACTACAAGATCCTTTTGGTCCATTCAATTAATAATAGACCTTATTCACGCATCAGCCAGAATGAGGCTCATCAGCCAGAACGGAGTTCATAAACAAACAAAGGTAACGCGTGTCACTGCAGTAAAATCCCCATCTTTATTAAGCTATGTAATGATACTTACAGATGGAGTTTACCTTCACACATTATTGAGCAAGGGCAGTTTTAAGCCTATTTTCTCGGTTTGGGTGCTCAGTAACGTCACATAGGCTATTCATTTATATGACGTCTCCATCTTCTCAATGGATGACCTAATATGAGTTATGAACCTCGCTTTTAGTGTTTCAAAATCGAGGTGTGAATAAGGTCTATGGCAGTCTGTTCCAGAATGAGTGGTGAAATTTAATGTTCACTTTGTTAAGCAAAAACCAAATAGATCTGTTTATGTGTACAGGTTTTGTATAAAGATTGGCAAATTAGAGTAGAATTTTTTTGAACAAATGCATTGTCAATCTACAATTCAAACAATTTTGTTGTGTTGCCATTCCACATTATTTGTGATAAGTGTTTTAAAAATTTGCTTAAAGATCTGTTATTTTCATTATTGTGTGCCTTACCTTGTTGCCATGTTATATTTTGTTTATGTATACTTAAAGCACTTGTTAGAATTTGATAATATACAGCACTGGCAGGTTGTTTTTTTTTTGGGTTTTTTTTTTTCAAAATTGTTAGGTGAGATTTTGAGACATTTATTCTCTACCTATAATAAGCTTTGTTGGGTTGCAGCGAATATTTCAAATACAACAATATCTAAAGATCATATACCCACTGTGTTCCTTAGTTCCATAGAATTACAATTTTTAGTCCATAATAATAGACATACTTTGTAGGTCGTGCCATATAAGGAAAGTGATACCTATTCTCCTTTACTAGACATATGAATTAATGGCAAAGTTCACTGAAACTCATGAATGATATATTATTTTGATATATATTGTAATTAAATGATAACTTGGCACTACTCTTCTGTTTTTTTGTTGCTAGAATTATCTCTTATAACTGTTAAGATGTACTAATGTGCAAATAGTACTTATATTATTTTTACTTTATAATCGAAGACTGTGATGGTTCATTGTCTACATTGAGTTTATTATGATGCATTGTTAATGAAATGACACCAAATTTTAATGATATGTCTTCAGAAATAAGCATATTTTTCCAATAGAAATGTACACCACATTTAGGAGGTAACTTATCCCAATTTATTTGTTTGTTTATCCGTACTTATTGTTTTGATACCCAATGATTATTATTATAGGAATTGATATAAATTTGTGATGCCATAATCAAAGCGATATAAATACTTCAATAAGATAATATGTGGTGCTATGATCAAACTGACATAGAAATTTAAATTAATGTGATGATATGATCAAACTAATATATCAATTTATATAAATGTGATTCTATGATCAAATAGATATAAATTTAAATAAATGTAATGCTATGATCAAACAGATATAAATTTAAATAAATGTGATGCTATGATCAAACAGATATAAATTTAAATAAATGTGATGCTATGATCAAACAGATATAAATTTAAATAAATGTAATGCTATGATCAAACTGATATGTCAATTTCTGTAAATGTGATGCTATGATCAAATAGATATAAATTTAAATAAATGTGATGCTATGATCAAACAGATATAAATTTAAATAAATGTGATGCTATGATCAAACAGATATACATACTTATATAAATGTGATGCCATGATCAAACTGATACAAAAATTTATATGTATGTCAGTAGAATTTGATGCTAAAATCAAGCAGATATATAAACTTATATTAACATGTGATGCTAAGTTTAAACTTATATAAACATGTGATGCTATGTTTAAACTTATATAAACATGTGATGCTATGTTTAAACTTATATAAACATGTGATGCTATGTTTAAACTTATATTAACATGTGATGCTATGTTTAAACTTATATAAACATGTGATGCTATGTTTAAACTTATATTAACATGTGATGCTATGTTTAAACTTATATTAACATGTGATGCTATGTTTAAACTTATATAAACATTTGATGCTATGTTTAAACTTATATTAACATGTGATGCTATGTTTAAACTTATATTAACATGTGATGCTATGTTTAAACTTATATTAACATGTGATGCTATGTTTAAACTTATGTAAACGTGCTGCTATGTTTAAACTTATATAAATATGTGATGCTTTGATCAAATTATATTGTTTCAGTAGATTTTCTTTATTATGTCATTCTTGTTCTTATAACTGCTTTATCAGTTACCTATCTTTATTTTGCTAAATAAATTTCCAATTCTGAATTTTTTTTTATTAGCCCATAATATCCTTGATGCAGCTATTGGATAAGCTCTTTGTCCTATTGCTTTAGAATTTTATTTGCGGGCAAAACTCGTCATTAAGAAGATTCATGAAAGTGCCATTCTTGTCCTTATAACATCAGAGTGTCAACACCCTAAGGAAATGGGGGGGGGGGTGTATTGCGTCATTTTCGTCAGTCGATTCACAATTGCTCGTAAAAACTCTAGAAGGCACAATTCTTGACTCATTTCGACAAAACTTGTTATGAGGATGTAACCTATTGAAAATCAGACAAATCGAAAAATAATTAGTATGGGTCATTGCCCCGTTTCTTGAAATGCTTGTGAACGCTCTACAAGGCGCAATTCTTGACAGATTTTCATGAAACTTGGTGTGAGTGTTAGTTATCACCTAAGGATGAACCCTATTGGAAATCAGAAGAATTTAAAAGTATTATGTATAAGCTATTGCCCATGTTCTTAAAAACGCATTCAGTTTTAGCCTGTAAACAACCTGTAAACAGATTTTTTCGAAACTTGGTAATATTATTCTGTATCACCTCAAAAAGTGGAAAAGAAGTGTATGACTTAAGGTTGAATATTTTATACTGGTAATTATTACTGTACTGCCAAATATTGTTATTCATAATCAAAGCTGCCGGTGGGCGTATATTACCTTCCTGGCAAGCTATTTTCTACTGTACAATATGACAAAAATGACATGGAATAGCTGAAATTAATTCAACTAGTAGAGCAAATGTTTAGACAGCTGGATCCCTTTTAAAACGTAACTAATAAGAATTATTCTTATAACAATTTAAGGAAATAAAATATAGGCTACATACAATTCTAACAATAAGCATTTAGCATAAAATTTTATCAAACGATTCTATTCCTTATTTATAATGTAAATTAAATGCATAAATTAGAATAAATTAAAGGAGGCTAATGTTTATTGGTAGGTTATGCTTTTAATATTCTTCAATGACGCGGTAGAGGATTTTCTTCTTGGCATATTATCTTTGGTTGTTATATTTGGTAAATTGGTATTGGATGGAGTAGTAAGTAATTCTTTAAGATCTTCATTTTGGTATCGTAATGTTTTAATCTCACGTTTCAAACCAACAAAATCTTTAAATGAGGACCCATCTTTCTTGGCTAGTTGTTTTCGCACCTGATTTAATTCTGTTAAAAGTTCATTATATTCCAATATTAAATTTTCTTTTTCATTCTGGCATCGAATGAAAGAATTTCTGTATTGTTCTAGTTTATCTTTTAAACTGTCTATTAAACTACTTTGTTCACGAACCATTTCACTCTTCACGTCGCGTTCCTTTACAACTTTTTCTAACTTTGATCTGAGTTGATCTGCCATTTCTTGCTGTTCTTTATCAACTTCAGCTTGTTTCAAATCTTTTTCTAATTTAATGATTTTATATTGCAATTCAGAATTCTTTTGTTTGGCTTCCTGCAAATCTTGTAGAAGTCTCTCGTGATTGTCTTTTAAACTCAATAAATCTTGTAATTGTTTGATTCTATCACTCACTTCTTCTCTAAGTTCATTTTTCTCCAAAGTACACTCTTCAAGTTCACTTTCTAAATTTTTCACTTTCGCCAAAGCCAACTGAAATAAATAATTGAATTAATTATTACCTATTTTGATTTACTTTGAACATCTCACACAATACAAGTGGTTTCAAAAATATGACATTATTTTCTTGTATATTAAACATTACAAAACATACTTCAAAATTATCTGAAGACATAATAGTTACATTGCTTTTTCATTACCATTTGCACTGATGTCTGCTAGCTTGCAGGAGAACCAAACCTTGACATTGAATTAGAAGAGAGAAGCAGATAGCTAAAATTGAGCTTTATCAGCTGAAAAAGCACCTATTTCAAGGCCTCATCCCTATACGTTTTCAGATATTATTTATAGCTATGATGAAACAGAAAATAAAAATAACTTACTGGTAATTGATCATCAGCTTGGTTTAATTCTTTATTACTAATAATTAATGATTCATTTATTCTCTCTAAGTCATCTATTTCATCTCTCATCTAAAAAAAGACATTAAAGTGTAATGCAACCTCAAAAATTTTATTATAATTTCTGAAATAATTGTTTTCTGGACAAAATATTTCGAAACCCGAGATGATCATTGTTTAGTTAAAAAACATTTCAATTCCTCAGAATTATTAAGCAAAACGATGAGCATCAAATAATAATTTAACTCTACACTTATTTACTTTAACAATTTCTTCTAAGTAATATTTTTCTTGATCTAACTTCTCACCAACAACTTTCATCAACTGAAATTTATAACAACAATAGTTTAAGAAAACGGAAATTTGTAGTCTAATAATATTTCTGATAATTTTTTTGTTAAACGGATGGACATAGGGTCAATAAATTGGCCATGTTTTTTTCTACAATCCTAAAAAGAGAAAAATTGAAGAATATGAAACATTTTTGGTCAAGCCACACTTACCTCTGCCTTGTGTTTTTCAGCAAGTTCAGCATTAAATTCATCTTGTTTTCTCAAATATTCTTCCTGCAAAATTCTCATTCTTTCTTTACTTTCATCAGCTAATGAATGGAACTCTTCACATTTTATTTGTTCAGCCTGAAAGAAATTTTAAGTAGATGTTATGCAATATATTCAATAATCAAATCAACCCCGAAAATGCCGAACCATGGCCTTAACCTTTCAACTCTAGCGACCAAACACTAACGCAATATATACCCGAGCAGTTGGTATACCGGCCATTGCTAAGTGACGTCATTCAATGTTAACATCATACGCTTCTACATTTATTACTTGGAGTTCAGGGTATATGTTCTTATAATTCATTTACACTCAGGGTTCAAAGGGTTAAGACCAGCACATCTTCAAAAGTTTCTTGGTTACACTTTTTTTTAGTCTATCAAATTGCTAATACAGATATCACATTACATTTGACTTGCCATTCATTTCCAGGTCATATAGGCATATCAAATTAGTTTTAGCTTTATAAATCTTAGGCATAAGTAACAAGTTCCCTTATTCCTAGTTATTCAAACTTGTGATTCGAGTCAGAACCTGTTTCAAAGAAGAAACATAAAGAAAGTTTCATTTCCAAAGTTCTTTTTTCCTTATAAAGGGAAGATAACTAGATAAGGTATTTGCTAAAGCTGACCTCGAGTTGTTTTATTCTAAATTTCAAGTCTTTATTCTCATCAGCCATTTCTTGTAAAAATGAGAGTGTTTGGATATGTTTTGAAGACAATCTCTCATTTTGAGCATGAAGAAGCTCCCTTGGGATTCTGGATGAATTACTCTGTTTGTCCATTTTAAAAAAAATACGTGTATCGTTACATTTTTAACAAAAGCAAAGGACTGTTTACAATTTTGAACCAAAATATGTGCATAACTTAAATATCGGCGGCCATTGCTTGGAGATGTAAACAAGTGCTAGGTGGTTCACTTATAATGGCGGATATTCATCCGCATATGAAATAGTTCGGGGAAAAGTAAGATAGAGATTTACTGATTATTATTTACGAACTCGTTATCAATTTTGTGAAGGTCGAGATGTGATATGCAAATAAATTATATCGTTAAACTCATATTTTCGCTGAATCCAAAGCAAAAGTAAACTGTCTATTCTGTATTCATGCCTCAATCATTTCCGCTGTGTACCGGATATGGACTACCGGATGAACAGTATTCTATTTTGTGAAATCATTCTTTAAAAACGAGTTATTTATTTCTTTGTAAAGACAAACTCTTATAGTTGTCTTTTTGTAGTTTTCTCTGAGTCACTAAGAGAAACAAAATGCCGGTAACAGATCCCTCAAAAATACAGAAGGTGGTTGTCCATCCCCTGGTTTTATTGAGCGTGGTTGACCATTTCAACAGAATGGGCAAAGTTGGAAATATGAAAAGAGTAGTTGGTTGCCTACTGGGTTCAAATCGTGCTGGTATCTTAGATGTTTCAAACAGTTTTGCAGGTACTTTATTGTTTTGATTAGGAAGAACATATATAATATACTGTATCCCTAAGGCATAACAGCATAGCAGCATAACTTGTAGATTTGCCATAAGCCATCATAACATTCATCAGATTCAGTCACTCTGATAACAGAACAACTTGGAACAGCAAGATTGTACCAATATTTAAAACCGCTTGGACCAAACCAGTTATTAACTAATAATTCATTACTTTGTACTCGATTACATGATATGAATTTAACAGATTAAGATTAGGCTAAACACTGATGACTATCAAAACAACAAAAGAACTGATTTTTAGGGAAGCTTGTTAAATTGTTGTATGTTTATTAAATTTATGGTGAACAGAAGATAACCACGCAACTGAGTACACTCAAAAAACTCAAAGATATGAATGAAAACCTACAAAGTTATTGAGTGTTTTTACAATGAAATTTTACAATAATCACCCCATTATTTTTTCCCATTTCAGTTCCATTTGATGAAGATGAAAGAGATAAGAAAGTATGGTTTTTAGATCATGATTATTTAGAGTGTATGTACGGCATGTTTAAGAAAGTAAATGGTAGGTTTTATTCTTCAATTATATTAAAAGAAAAGAAGATTAGTCAAAAGCCAATGACTCTTTTAATTATGTTAACATCTGTATTCTAAAGTAATCGTAAAGATGTCAAACTATCACAATGATAAACTTATATGGCACATCAAAAGATTATACTTCTTGAATCTTAGATTATCTCTATATTTATAACTTTTTTTAAAAATGTATTTTTTAGCAAAAGAAAAGATAGTTGGATGGTATCATACAGGACCCAAACTTCATCCTAATGATATAACTATTAATGAAATGATGAGAAGATACTGTCCAAACTCTGTAGGTGTTCTGTAGTAAAATTTAACCAGTTTCTGTTGTAACTCAATTCTTCTGATGAATGAGCAAACATGGTGTAACTTAAAGCATAGCTTTCATGATTTTTTGTGTCAATCCTTTCAGGCTGCTAATTTTGCACTTGTCTTCTTTACCTATAAGGTTTTAACTTTTCACTTATTACACTTGACCCTTCAATTTAGATACTAAAATACTCAAAATACATGTGACTAGTTGAATAATGTTGTTTATTATAGATCTTAGTTGTCATAGATGCTAAACCTAAAGATTTAGGATTACCAACCGAAGCATATATTGCTGTGGAAGAGGTTCATGATGTAAGTTACACATTTATTTTATGACTTATATTGTTTCTTTTTGTTCTCATGGAGGCCTGGAATCAAGGGAAACATTCCCAATAAATATAAAAACAATAAAGGTTCTATAGGTCTGTCTTTGTCGCTTGGTGATTGCCAAATTTCTTGGCAGTGAATACATTAGCCAAACATTCCTCAATCAAAAGAAAGAAAGAACTGATTTTTATTATTTTATGTGATATATTTTATGTAGGATGGAACACCAACCAGTAAGACGTTTGAACATGTACCTAGTGATATCGGTGCTGAAGAAGCAGAAGAAGTTGGTGTAGAACATCTCTTGAGGTATTATTGTATATTCTCTTGAACCATACTTACATTTCAAAACAGAAATATAAAAAAAACAGAAGATTTTACTTACAGATGTCCTATGTAGGAATAGCTTGACTCATCTGGCCATATGAAATAGAGACTATAGCTTACATGACAAGCTCTAAGAAACAGTGTAGCATCCCACTAATAGTTCTGTTAATTCTGTTATAATTTCAGAGATATTAAAGATACTACAGTAGGAACATTATCACAGAGAATTACCAATCAATTGATGGGATTAAAGGGTTTACATGGACATATTAAAGATATTAGTTCATATTTAAATAAAATATCAACTGGTCAACTTCCTATTAATCATCAAATTATTTATCATTTACAAGATGTCTTTAATTTACTGCCAGACGTCAATTTACAAGATTTTGTGAAAGCTATGTATGTGAAAACAAATGATCAAATGTTAGTTGTGTACATCGCATCATTGATTCGTTCCATTATTGCCTTACACAATCTCATAAACAATAAAATTCAAAATCGTGATGCAGAGAAAAATGAATTTAAGGATCCAAAGAAGGATAAAAAAGATGACAAAGACAAGAAGGATGAGAAAAAGGATGGTAAAGATGACAAAACAAAGGACGAGAAAACAAAAGACGAGAAGAAAGAAACCAGTACTAAGAAGAAATAAAATTTGAATTAGAATTGTTCTGTCTAATAGTTCCTTCTGTAAATTTATCATTATATATTGTTAAACAATTCATGGTTGAATTCATTTGTATTTATACCACTCAAATAATATTGTTCTTCTTTGAACTCAGATACCCCAAGCTCCAAACTTTTAAGTCTGAAACATAAACATTTCTAAACTAGACTTAGTTATTTGTGCACAGTCGGTTAGAGCATTGGTACTTAACAGGACGTTATTTGCTTGGTTACGTCAAGCAAATGGCGGCTGTGGGTTCAATTCTCGACTGGCGTGTGATTGTTCAATGACCTGGAATAAGTCATCTCCACTCATAATTCCAGTCAACCCAGCTGTAAATGGGTATGGATAATCCGGGAAAGATAAATGACAAGAGGTTTGGACAAGGACCAGCTGGTAGAAAGGATCCTCAACGGTGAACCTAAGGTTTTTTCCTATAAAATATAGTTGTTTCTTTTCTTTCTTTGGCCTTAGGTGTCTTTTTTCCTTAAAAATTATGCATTAACCCCGAGTGACTGGTCTAAATTTCTCAGCATGCTTAGTCTTTTTGTATTCTTGATCTTCTTGCCCATTGGTCAGTAAAGGTTGTCAAATTGGGTTTGTACCATGTTTGCCTTGCCAAACAGTCATTGTTTGCTATTAGTGCAAAGTCCACATGGTTTACATGGAAATATACTGGCCTACAATCCAATGTTGTTTCTCTATATCCAACATCATGTGGAAATCTTTGTAGATAAAGACTTAGTCAGAAATGCAAAATTATCCTTTGGAATTAAAATACTTTCTTAGTTGATTAAGTTCTCTTAGCTGCAAAATCAAGAGGAATATCCCATTAATATATCTGGATTTTTATGATCACTAACTACCTAAAGTGTGCAATTAAAGAAATTCTGTCTACATGCTACAGTGAAAAAGTCTTGAAAATTAAAACGATAGAACGAAAGTATGTGAAGAAATTGAGCCAGTATAATGAATGCATAAGTAATTAATATTGACTAAAACTAACAGTAATAACTATTACTGAAGAAACAATTCATTATCAGGTGGGAAAAAATCAATGGTTGTCATAACATCTTTATTGTTGATGCACACAGCCTATCTGTTAATAAGAGAATATAATAGACTGATAAATAGTCATTGATCTGCTTGTTAATCAACATTTCTATAATTAATTAATATGGCTTTATATTGTTACCATGGCACTAAAAAGCAAGACATCTTATATCCATTTCGACTAATCTGGACAAATTTTCTTATTTTAAATTTTGTAGCCATTTTCAATGAAGCTCATGAGCTTGGGAAATATTTATGGCATAGGCAGACATCTACCAACTCTTTAACAAAGATATTTGCTATCTGTTTCCTTTATTGCTAAGTGTATCATGATGCTATTATATCTTGTACACTTTTTGAATGGGTAATTTCACCATGAGGAGCAGATAACTCCTGAACCTCTCCTTGATTACAAATTGTAGCTGCTTGTGAGATGTTTCATTTCAGTATGGAATAGAAGGGTGTTTTAAACTAAAACTTGACCACAAATGGTAGGAAACTTTGGTTGGGACCATGTCAGACCAAATAGATAGAAATTCAACTCTGAAGCAACAAGTTCTTGTCAAAAAGATTAGGACATCATGTTTGAATGACTGCAGTGATGTTTGCCAGTGTCAAAGTTTCCTTGAGCGTCCCAAGACTTAAGATCAATTAAGCTGTAAACTACTGTTTCTTTCAACAACAGAAAAATCCATGAATTAAATACTATGATTCTCATTTATTCTACAGAATGCATATTTACAAAATTTTTATATACATTGTTAAAATGCATATATAACAATATATATTACTTTAATGTTGACTTAAATGTATGTAGGTAATGTCTTAATATACATCATGCGATAAACAGAGAAATACCTGGCATTTTTAAAATAATATTAGTAACATAACAAAGAAATAACCAGTATCGGATATATATATATATATAAGAATGCAGATATTGCAAGACTATGCCAAATATTTCCCTGTCAAGCCATGCCAAATTTAGTTCACGATGATAGAAATATTTTTATTTTGCTTTCTGTACATCCCAGATCCTTCCACATCCTGCTAATGAATCGTTTGTCACAGTAATGTTTGTGCTTATATTAATTTCCTGTGTACACATTTACCCAAAATTTTCCGCAATTTGTTAAAAATTATTGTCATTCCATAGGAACATTGTAAAGTTTATAAACAAAGTCTGTAATGGTTTTCATTATTCACTTGTTAAACCTTGTTGGGGACCTTGTTTTGAACTGGTAAATATAATTTAAATTCTGCAGGTAATTCATCTTCGGAGTATAATCTATCCGAAAAGTAGACTCTTCGGATTCGGCAATTGGCATGGATCTGAAAAAGGATAATGAAAACAATAAAAGTTTTGAAAACACATCTTCTTACTTTGTAAATTGACATTTGATCAGTTTATCAGTTTGCTGCTATTGATCATAAAGTAATGGCTTAGATAATATAGAAAGAAGCCCTTTACTTACTTGTACTCGGAGGGTTTCAATGTAGTTGGTACCATAGGCTCTTCGTGTAAAGTCTGATAAATTGAACTGAATTTGATTCCAGCCATCATCTAACCTCATTGGCATAGTACAAATAAATGGTTTGACTCTGGTGGTGCTCTGGTAATTACTGGCACGGAATCGCCTTTTAACATTTTTATCATCAAGTACCTGGAAAAGGAGAATAAATATAAAAATTTGCTCCTTGGATAATTCTTTCTGACTTTTACTTCTATTTTTCAATTAATCAATACTTTCGTTCATAATATTTCTAAAAAGTAAACCACAAGAACAAGGTATTTACTCACCGTAACTTCAAATGTAAAATATTTCTTCAAATTTTTAATGATCATGACAAGGAAAGGTAATTTGATTCCTAATGTTTTCTTTGGTTCTGTTGGACATTGTATGAATGTTGTGCTGCAATAGAAAAAATTTTTCAAGGTTAAAATACATCACAAACAAATTAAATTTATTTTAGGTACCAATTGCATAACTAAATTCAGTACTTTTTTCTTGAAAGACAACAAATAGTTTCAGTCTTCAATATCTATCTATCATTTTGTTCATTAAAGCATTGAAGTGCTACCAATTCTGTTGCTATCTTGTTATATAGAAAGGGTATTCTAAGTAAAACGTAAGCTCACCTGACATTTGTACCAACTATTTCCAAAACTAAAGACTGGATATCGTTATCAGTAATACGTTTGATGTGACCATTTCGTACCTGAAAGGAATGTAAAAATTAGATCAGCAATCAATAATCAAACTTACTGGGTCTAGTCTGCCTATGATTTTATGAATAATTATTCAGTAATTGCTTATTCAAAAGTTATATTAAATTGAGATGTTGCATATTGGCTCTTTTGTACTTGTAGCAATGTTGGGTTGGTGACTTGCGAAATCTAAAACCAAGAACGAAGGTGAGTATGACAAAGTATACTAGCTAACAATTATGCAAACCAACAAGGATATAGAACATCAGAAGACCAAATAGAATAAACATGGCAACATCACAACAGTGCATAGAAAGTCATAAACTCTATGAAGTCACTGAGACTAAAAATTTAACTTACCTTTTTGTCCCAAATTTGTAAAGGTTTACTTCCGATACTGTAGAGAATGGATAAAAATCCGCTTTGGAAAGTATTCTTGAACATTTTGCTATGTTGTTGTGAAGATGGAACCAAGAGTAATAATGAAACAGTAAGATGTTTCGAGCCTTTTATTACTCCAACCAAATGAACAAGTTGTCAAGTGAAGATACCGTTGTGTGTAGATTGACTTAACACTGTTGTCAAGGTGTGCGTAGTGATATGGGTTGCCACAGAACTACTTCACCTGCAACCGAAAGTAAATGTCATAAAATTTTCATTTAGGAAAATATACTCAAAAAATTGAAGGTAGTAAAAATGTTTAAAAATTATCTTTGAACTATTTTATGTAGTTTTATTTAACTGTTATTTTATATAATAAATGTCAGAAATATTTAAAAAAGGATCTACTTTCACAGGAAATCAATGCGCTAGGTAAAGCGTACATCCGGTTTGGTGACCACGCAACGTTTTGTTGTGGGGCTACCCCAGAAATCCCGTTACTCCGGCGATGTCACGCCCACTTTTTTTTTTTTATCGTATTTTAGCTTGTTCATTGATTACATGCATTGGTTTCTGTTCAGTGAATTTGTTGTTTTAACAGTGACGATAATCTATGAGGTGATCAGACAACCGATTAAGCCTTTCATTCATTTCGCCTGATTACCCTGATCAATCAAAATCGTCGCTTTTTACGAAGGGAAACAATTAGCCTAGGGCTAGGGTGCGTTACTGTTATTTTACCACGTGGGTAAGGTTTTTGCACCATCAGCTGCTGGACATATGGGCTACCAAAAAAAAGGGTTTTTAGCGGCATCTACAGCTGCATAACATAACAGGGGTCGTGAGTTTTTCACCATCTAGGCCTAGCTGCACAAAAACTGTAGCCTATTATACTACAGGCACAGAACTGCAGAATAATCAGTTTTGTCTGGATAATGAAACAAAGTCGTTTGTGATGTTTGTTTTAACTTTTAAGTCAGTAGTTAGACTCGGGTACTACTACTACACATAACTAGATTATTTCCGTATTTCTCATCTTAAGAAAAAGAAACCTTTATAAATTGTACATGATACACCATGGTCCTCATAGGAAAATGAATTGACACGTAGGGCCACCTACTGTAGCATTAAAAGACTATAAAAACTTCCTTGTCACCGACTAATGCAAAAAGAAAAATTATGGAATTCCAACGCTCTTAAAAATAATATAAAACATGTCCCAGTTCACACTAAAGAATAAGGAGATCTATAAGGTCAAGTTTAAAAATACACGTGAAGCTGATTTACAAATATAGTCGATCGAGGCTATCATTTTGCTAAGATACTGAATTTTTAAGACTTTGTAAACTTACTAGAATGAGGTTAATTGTCTTACTCCAAAAATATAAGACATATTTTCCTTCTTTCATTATGACATCAATAATTAATAATGGGAAAACGTCATAATTAAAATTCTGATATCCCGAGATACTAGACCTATTGTTTCCAATTCCACAGTGACAATGCAATAATAGTGCCATGCCTACATAATCAGAAAGATTGTTTTTCACGAATGAACTTTAACCACCAGATTTTCAAATAAAACAATGAATACCTTAACACCTTCTGTCAAGCCAGGTAAAGAGACGGCACAGAAAAATAAGAAGGAAAGAAAGTAAGTTTTTGATATGATCAAAAAATTTATTTTTGTTACCACTTTGTTATAACATTATCATATCAATTGGGGGCATTAAGAAAATCCATTATTTTCACCAAGAATTACAGAGCCTTATATAGCTATCTAGTACAGATTTGGAACCAAGATCTTTGGAAAGTCAGTAATAACATGTGCTGGAGCCTACGGCTTGAGCTACGGACCTATGGTCAGAAGCAGGTCCAGGCAGTTGTCCAAATATAACCTTCCTTAGGATCTGGAGTGAAAACTAGAAACAACCAAGGAATGGGAAGCTTTTGATTGTTAGGCCTACTCTTATAGCCTTCTTAAACTTTTCCAGAGAGCTAAGACTGATTATCCAGTTCTTAGAATCACGTATGCAACTTGAAAAACAAAGGGCAAATAAGATGATACAGTTTTGTAACGTTTGGGATCAAAGAATTAAAGATGCCCAAGGTAGGCTTAACGATTCTGCACAGTTGACAGATTGATTGACAGATTCCAAGTTTTCGTGTATATCATGGTTTATAAACATTTCCCTTGTCGACTTCCAACAGATAATGTTTAAACTAAAAACATTGCTTACAAGTAGCCTAATAGGCATATTTTATAAGCCATGCATTGTCCAACTCCATAACAGGTATAATTTTAAGATAAGTTCCGGTCTCATACGCCTTTGGAAACAGCGTTATTTGTTGTTCTTGAATAATAATTTGTAATACGTGTTTTGTCCAACCTCTCAAAATGCAGTTGCTCAGAGAGTTAGGCCTACTGGTTTATCTTGGGGTCCACAGTTAAATCTAGACAAACCTCCGTACTCTCTGTAGTTCCATTGGCATTGTTGCGAGCGAGTATGCCTATCTAAAGTCAACTTTAAGTGCACATGATTGATATTCTGTTTTTTCCTCCCGTCTCTAGGCTCACTTAACGAAACAACACAGATTTCTGACAGTGTTATTCTACCATTAATTGGTCTCAAACCAGAGAAAAAGAATAGAACTGCGATTTCTTATGCTAAAGACAGCCCTTTGATGGAGAGTTTGAAATCAATTCAGGAAGAATCTAGAAATTCCGCGTTTTCTCATTACAAACAACATTTGGCTATTTCCGAAGTTTTGACAGATCTCAAGAGGTAAAAAGTAGCATTTTATTTGCAGATGTTGATTGAAAGGCACTTGCTGCCAATGTTAAGTTAAATGCGCAGGTTATCTACCTTATTGTTTGAGCAATCAAACATACTGATGGAGCAATCCTGCTTGATCAATCTTACACATTGCTTAATCAATATCTTACACATTGCTTGATCAATCTTACACATTGCTTGAACAATCTTACATGTTGATTAGACAATCTAAGACATTACTTGATCAATCTAAGACATTGCTTGAACAATCTTACAAATTGTTTAGACAATCTTCCATATTGCTTGAACAATCTAACACATTACTTGATCAATCTAAAACATTGCTTGAACAATCTTACATGTTGATTAGACAATCTAAGACATTACTTGATCAATCTAAGACATTGCTTGAACAATCTTACAAATTGTTTAGACAATCTTCCATATTGCTTGAACAATCTAACACATTACTTGATCAATCTAAAACATTGCTTGAACAATCTTACCTATTGATTAGACAATCTAACACATTACTTGATCAATCTAAAACATTGCTTGAACAATCTTACATATTGATTAGACAATCTAGCACATTACTTGATCAATCTAAAACATTGCTTGAACAATCTTACATATTGATTAGACAATCCAGCACATTACTTGATCAATCTAAAACATTGCTTGAACAATCTTACATATTGATTAGACAATCTAACACATTACTTGATCAATCTAAAACATTGCTTGAACAATCTTACATATTGATTAGACAATCTAGCACATTACTTGATCAATCTAAAACATTGCTTGAACAATCTTACATATTGATTAGACAATCCAGCACATTACTTGATCAATCTAAAACATTGCTTGAACAATCTTACATATTGATTAGACAATCTAACACATTACTTGATCAATCTAAAACATTGCTTGAACAATCTTACACATTGATTAGAAAATCTAACACATTACTTGACCAATCTAACACATTACTGTACTTGACCAATCTAACTCAGTGCTTGAGCAATTATAAACATTAATTTAAGCAATTTCACTATAGCTCAAGCCTCCATCAATTACTGAATGCTTAAGCATTTTGAAATACTGTAAGCATCACTTGAATTGTTGTATGTGCAATACATGGAATATGGAAAACATAATGTTTGAATAACAGAAAATATTGTAGCTTAGTGTATAGTATAAGCAATTCAATGCTATGCACAAAAAAACTGCAATTTCCGAAACTTGATAACTTTGATATGGTGGAATGTTTTCTATTGAAGTGTTTATGAAGAAGCTTGTAAAGATAAAGAGAAAGAAGTTGGTGTTGCTGCAGATATTATTTATAAATATATGGGTCATAAGTCAGATGATTGCTTATAAGCAGTTTTCCTATATAGTTAAAGGGGTTGTAAAGAGGTTTTTTAGTCTTTTTTATAAGTATCAGATAATAGCTAATAGCTTCCATTTGCACAATTGCTTAATTCAGTTTGATGACTCTTGGTACTGTAATTCTAGAAAAACTAAACAAAATATTATTTCACATTTGCAAAAACTTTGTTCACAATCAAGTTATGGATTTTTCTAATTGCTGGAACCACAGAAGTTGGACAGGCCATTGGTTTAATGCAAATAGAAACTATAAGTGTACAACATACCCATACAAAGACACTCAGAAAAATCTCTTTACAATCCCTCTCAGAGATGGACATTTATTGGTTGAATATGTACAATGATTTGGATTAAGATGTTGATAAATGTAGAAATGTTTATTGTATACTTTGAATATAATATATATTTCAAATAAAATGTGATATGTCTTTTTTCTAGGCTATATGAAGCAAAATCCTCTAACCAAAAGATAAATTGCTAGGCAAATTTAACACAAGCCTTCATATCAATTTTTAAAAACATCTGACATTTCCAATGCTAAGAACATCAACAGTATTCTTTATGCAAAATTTAATAAAAATCAAATTAAACCTGTGATCTACACACCACAATACTCTACTGATAAACCGATTAGGTTCTGTGAGTTCAAGGTAAGGTACATTCTAATGCTACAGCCAGTGCTTCCAGGAGTGGGTTCAGTGACGGCTTTCACATAAACTAGATTTTGTGAAATAAGATAATGATTGAGATTACAATTAATACAATCAAGTCGACACTGGATTATTGTATTAATATAGATTAGTATGAAACGGACATATTTTATGATAAAATTAACAAAGATTTATTTTTGACACGCAAAGCACATAACTACATAGTAGCATCATTACATGAAACCAATATTAGATCATCTTCACAATGATATTACAAACTTCGTCTTATACCTTGACTATAATAGCCACCTTTCTTGTATTACAGAATTCAGCAAATTAATTTGATTCTGAGCCAGCGAAAATAGCCAATCAGAGCCCTTGACAGAAAGGCTGTCAACATTATGGCTCAGTGTTTACATATTGTCAAGCCCTCTGATTGGCTTTATCTGCTAGCGTACAATCAATTACAAAATTCTGTGATACAAGAAAGGTTCCTATTGCAGTCAAGGTTTAAGACAAAGTCTGTAAAGCTTGACATTGTGAAGATGATTTAAGATATAAATCTAGGCCTATTAATTTTGTACTACCGTATTAAAAAAAAAACAGTTGAAGAAGCTTGCATTACCAGTACCTTACTCTCCATCTTCAGTAATTAATTTTCACAAAAACAGTTAAGTAATTGACTGTTTAGTAATAATAGATAATATTCATCACAACTTTTAACATACATCAAAGAACAGTGTGTAATATCTATACATGTATGTGCCAAAAACAGACAATTAAATCATTTTATTTTGCTTGGGTTTAATAAGTCCTTTTCCCAATTTTGTTGACAAATAAGTATTATACTTCAGTGGATGTAGGCTTAAAATAAACTCCAATCAACTCGTCAACTAAATGTCTTGTTTGTCTGTACAAAGCTAGATGTCCTTGACTAGAACCAGTCGTATTGGTCATCTCAATGGATTCAAAATGATTGAATCCTCCGAGGCTTTCATTGGAATATGCAAATCTGTTCCACCAATTACATTTTAGAAGCCGGTTTCAAATGGTTATCAGGATGTATTGCTTTTAATACTATATTGTGAAATAAGGTTAAGTCTTTTTATAAATAAAATCTGGAACAGTCCATTAAAATACCAACAGGAACCAAACTGATTTCATCATAATATCAAATAATAGATCACATTATTAGTCACACTGTGCTAGTTTGTATCAGAGTTCGTATTTCAGAAATTGAATAATTTTTTTCGGTAATGGCAATCGACTAATGTCTGTCTTTTTCATTAACTGTAACAATAAATCTCTACAAGCATTCTGTAGGGAAGTTACTGAAATAGATAAAAAGATATATGTAATAAAAATGTCTTAAATTGTATAAGGTTTTATAAGAGAAACTCTCTTATAGAAGCACTGGCCTAGGTGATGGTGTTAGATGGTGATGAGAACATTGTACTCCTGACATCACTGTCCCAGGTCACACACAGTAAAGTATGACTGCCAATCTAACCATTTATAGAATTACCAGTACCCAAGGTTGAGAATGTCCATAGCTAAAAATATTTGTGTGCATTTTAGAGATTTACCTCCATATAATTGTATTATTCTAACTTGTTTGGTTGTACCATAAACATCAACAACAGCATATAAAGGACCATCTTGTAATGGTATTGTATTAGATGATGGCCCTTGATCTTCACCATTGATTATAAAATGCATTTCAGCCTCATTTCCTACTACTTTATACATAATACCTATTCGACTACCAATATCAGTAGGTAGTATTGTACTTTCACAGTTATTACATGGTTCTCCATTTCTACTGACAGGTAGTAACATATTCCGACTAAATGAACCGCGGGGTGTATGAATAATCTCACTGTTTTTTAAGACTGATTTATAAGGTTCCTGGTCTTCAGGTACAACTCTATTATGTGTCTTTGTCACAGCAAATATCCATGATTTTCCAATGTTGGCTAAATCTGGTAAGGCATATTGCGGTAATTCAAACTGATTACTTGGATTAAGTTGTGTTAAACCAACTCTTAAATGTCCACTCCATCCTCTCTCGTTTTTCTCAATTTCCACTAAAAATATTTCCCCTGGAGTTAAAGGGTGTTCACTAAATGTTAATGCATGAGCAAAACTGGAATTTCTGGATGCCACCATACTGTCCTGTGATAATCCTATATTTTGACCGTGATAGGGATGAAAACGTGTCACTGGCATTTTAGTAATCTTAAAAACAAACAACCATTAATGAAAATTCTGAAAAATAAGTTATATTTGTTATTAGTTGTAATTATAATAAACAATGTATTATCATCGGTTTTAACATGTGAATAGTTTGTACAGGAATGAGGCTACTCTTGTACAATCAAAATATTATATTTATACATTATGAAAGTGAAAATAACTCACAAAGTTAAAGATAGTGATTATAGGTCTACTCTTTCCTCACATATACATGCAAACCTGGTATTTTATAAATCAGAAGTTAGGCCAATCGGCCTAGTCTATTTAAATAAAGGCAGTGCCCAGTGAATGGCTGAATGGGGAGGGGACTGGACCTGGCCAATTTCTCAATTCGAGTGTCATTAATTCAACATAATAGATGGTCCCGTCCATGCAAAAATCTCATAATTATAATTATAAGTTGGTTACGTTTGTTTTGATCGATTCAAATATATTGACACTACGATAGGCAAATAGGTTAGGTCTATATTTTCAGCAGAAATTGTACCACAGTCTACATCTCTTCACTATTTCACAAAAAACAACATTCAGACAATCACTTCCGCTTCCGTTTCATTTATCTACACAAACTTTACGTACGCATAACTTTCTCTTCTCGTATAGCTTGACATAAAAACAAACAATTTTTTTCGTTGCTATGTAAAGTTTTATTCTTTCGCATTTTTGTTCTCGAGAGACACTTCTTTATATCAAATATTCTAAGTTTTGGGAGTTTTCTTTCTTCTATTTTAACGGATGAAAGGTGTCAGTAGCCCTTGAATTTCTCAAGATGGTGGACACAATCTCACAAAAGTAGCTGTAATCCTAACTTAATATGACTTATATGCACAGTGAAAGCATAACAGTTTCTTCTATACACAAACAGATTTCTAGTGGTAAAGCAGGCAGCTTCAGGAAGAAATATAGAAATCCGTCATATCCAATCTTCCCCATTATTCTTTGTCTCTTTGACACAGTGAATGTGTTGGGTCAATAAATAAATAAACACAAAATGGGCTTTGCCACAGGGTTATAGTGCAGTCTATTGGCAGCAACTAGCGAAGAATGTTTGAAACAAACCCATTTCCAGCTTCACATGAAGATTTGATTCATGATGTAAAGTATGATTTCCATGGTAAAAGAAAAGCTACTTGTTCAAGTGACCACAGTGTAAAGGTGAGTTACCTATAGTCCCTCCTACTACTGTCAAGTCAGCATTATTATTATATATATAAGAATTGCATTTTGGCTCTTGCCGATCTTTGTAGTATTTATGACAGAAAAATTTAAGTCTGAACTCACTGATTTAGTAGAGTTAACAAAGCAAGTATATCAACCTTAGTATTGACCTTGTGCTCTTGCTATTGTTGAGATAAAATGTTGAAAGCCCTTTAAAAATGAGGTATAAAAATTGCCCCAGCAAGATGAATGAATAGCTTACTCATGGAATGAATATTTTATTTATGTTGTTATATCATTTTGTAGATATGGGATTGTGATGAAAAGGGACAGTGGCACTGCTCAGCTAATTGGAAGGTATATTTTCTATTAATCACAATAATACAATTTAACTTAACACCAAAAGTTTGTTTATCTAAATGCATTTTTTCAGTTTAGTTTCATCAAAGTACAAAGTATATTGAGTGAGAAAAATTATGGACTAATAACTTCTATTTTAGGCTCACAGTGGATCTGTTTGGAGAGTGACATGGTGTCATCCGGAATACGGACAAGTTATTGCTACGTGTTCATTTGATAGAACAGCAGCTGTATGGGAAGAATTGATTGGAGAACATGCAAGACAAAATAAACAATCACACTGGGTTAAAAGAACCAGTTTAGTTGACAGTAGAACATCAGTTACAGATGTCAAGTTTGCCCCAAGACATTTAGGCTTACAATTGGTGAGTTCATTATACGCAGATTATGTTATTTACAGTGTAGAAATTAGAGTTAGACTAAATAAGCCATTTTTGAAGAAAAACCTAAAGGGAAACTCATGCTTTTTAGGCAACATGTTCTGCTGATTGTGTAGTGAGAATCTATGAAGCACATGATGTGATGAATTTAAGTCAGTGGTCTTTACAACATGAAATACAATGTAGTTTGAGTTGTAGTTGTTTGGCATGGAATCCATCTTTATCTAGGTAAACCTTTTTCCTTTTTCATTGTAACTAATCCAAAGAAAATCAGGAACAAACAATTTGAAACCATTCAAATGATGCAACCATGGAAATTATATCTACAATAATACGAGTTATTACCTCTTATTGTGTAGAGGTTTGAGAAACCGGGCCTAATTTGACTAATATTTTTTGCTAGATATGATTTTATTCCTTGATTTGTAATCCCATCAAAGACATTATGCTTAAATTCTCTTATAGATCCCATCCTCCTATGATATGTGTTGGAAGTGATAATCCAAGCACAACAGCTGGTGGTAAAGTACAGATATATGAATACAGTGATTCTAATAGGTAACATTATATTTAAATATGCATTTGTGCATCTCTTTTTCACCGTACATGTATAATCAATCAAATAAAATAAAATATAAGGTTGTTACTTTAGTACTTTCATACCAGCATATATATGGATATATGTGGTATTGTCTGAAAGTTGAGCTAATCAGCTTGTTTAAGACAGCTGATCTTTGACCCAATCATTATAAACTTGCTCAATAGATAGCCCCTACCTATTTCATTTTAAGAACTTTTTTTTTTCATCTGTAGAAAATGGAGGAAATTAGAAATAATTTCAATAGTAACCGATCCAGTACATGATTTAGAATTCGCTCCTAATTTAGGACGATCATATCATTTATTAGCAGTAGCTTCTAAAGACTTAAATTTATTCAGTATAAAACCATTGAGGTAAGAATTCTACTGGTTCATTTATTCCTGATTGATCAAATTTATTGTAATTGACTAATGGTTCAACTGATAAAATAGGATGTACTTGAAACAAATGAGAGCAGTGATATAACATTGGTACCTATCTCAATTGAAAATGTGCCTAATGACTGATGTTGTGTTTTAGTTCCAGTTTAAAAGATTCAGCAAATATCAGTAAGTTTGATATACAACGTTTAGGCGAATTCACAGAACATAAATCACAGGTACTTCTTTATATTTAGTCCTTATATATGATACATTTAACTGTTGTGATACATCAATATATTGTGATACAATATAACATTGCAACAACTTCCCTACCATACAGTTGATTGCTATGTTCTAGTGGTTTATCAACAACACAATATTTTGTTATAATTTCTATAAAATATATTGAGTTGTATCAATTCTGTTTTGCAGTGATCTTTACCCTAAGTCAATGTTCTAACAGGCCTCCATTGTACAGAAGTATAAAGGCTCATTAGAAATTTGTTGAAAATACTACATATATTATATTAAAGGTATGGAGAATAAGTTGGAATGTATTTGGTACTGTATTAACTTCATCAGGGGATGATGGTTGTGTTAGATTATGGAAAGGTTTGTATCTCTGATGTGTTATTTATGCTATAAACTATCACTAACAGTTTTAGGGGGCTATAGTGTCTCAGTGAGCTAACTTGCTAGTTGACCTGAGGGTCCAGAATTCAATCTTTCCATATGTCAAGATTCAACATGTCATTGATGCAGGTGGATGTGCTTATGGAAAGTAATACACAGCTGTTAATATAGGCCCTGTCATCCTTGGGCTCGGTTTTTATGCTTAGCTGTTGCAAGTAGGGCTAATCTACACAAGTGTTACAATTTCTAGGATCTGGTGGTCTGGATATAACTTTGGAAGTTTGAAAAATTAGAAGCCAAGAGAACTCATTTGTGACGATTTAAATGTGCCAAAATCCTATCAAAATGTTCATCCTCTCTATTTTGTACGAAAACACTGCAAATTAATCAATCTATGCTGAACTGAAGAAGGTTTTGCTGGGGCTAAAATCTCACTTGCTGGGGCCCAGCTCCCAAGGACCCCACCCTGTTTAACTCTACAAAGATAGAATATTTAATCTATTTTCAGCTAATTATATGGGTATTTGGAAGTGTGTACAAGTCTTGGAGGATGGCAGTAGAAAGGCGGTAGCATCATATGAAACGAAAACAGTTCCAGTTACATCCAATAATAGTGTCAGGTACTATCATATTAAACCAGTAGCTAATGCCAGTCAGGCTATTTGGCACTAACTAGGTTCCTGAAAATGTCTTTTTTTGTGACAAAATGTTGATCTTGTCTTTTGAGAAAAGACTAAGTCAGTGAAATTAAATACACAAATCTCTGGAAGTTCAATTTAGTAGTATTAGATGTTGGAGAAGGGAAAGCATACTCTTCTTGAGACAAAAACATAGACATTCACATTTTTGTGGGTAGCTTGCAAGAGAGATTACTGCTAAGCAGTACTATTATTTTCTATGTGTGAAAGGACTAATGTATAACATTGATTTGCAAGATATATTAATATATATATATATATATAGATACTTAGATAGATAGAAAGATATATTTTAACAGTTTGAGTAGCACACCTCTTCTGAATAATTCTGGTCATTTTTAAATTTTTGTGACATCTGTGTAAGTAAATCATTCATGGTTGATCTACAATTTGAAAAAAAAGGCCTCGGATTAAGATATTTTTTTTGCATCAAGAAGGTTCATTTTGTGAGCACTTGTGAGTTATTTGATCCATTTTAAGTCAAATATTGGACTTTTAAATCTTAAAATGATTATTTCTCCTCAAATATCTTTATTTTCAACTTTTATTGTTGTTTCATTTGTTGAATGTAATTTGCCCCCTACTTAACAGACAAAACAATATTCATTAAATATGTAAGTATGTAGGCAGTTTTCTATGAGTTTTTCTGAAAGGAAGTTCTCAGACTGTATGTGTATTAGAGACATTGGAGATATCATGAATTTCCAATATTTGGGAAATCTTCTGTGGATCTTGCAATTTCACTGAAACTAAATGATTTATGACGTCACTTTCTTCATAAAAACATTGGTTTTATTGGAATTGCAAGATCCAGACATCAGACTGAAAATTGAAATGGTGCAAATTGATGCTATCAGTGTCCCTGATACACATAAAAAGTTTATTCCTTACATTTCCTTTATTCAACATCCTCCCTTTTTTGTTGAATGGGGCAAATTACAATTTCTATGATTTTTTGCTGATGCAAATTTTTTACTGTAATTCTATATGTATATATGAGAGTTGAAAATTATCCTAAATTATTGTATCACTGTGATGTTAATTAGTCAAACTGTTATAAGTACAACTGTTAATTTGATAATAAAATAATTTGGAAATAGAATTTAGTTATTTTTTTGCATCAGCAATAAATGTGAATTTGTCAACATCTCAAATAAACTCCTAATATCCACTATAGCCCTAAAATGAAAGCAGTAGGCAGTTGTTCTTAATATTTGGAAACACTTTATCAAAGATGTACTGGTCCACTGTTTTCCGATTAGGTGCGCTATGTTTGAATTCTTCTCAAAACAGAAAAAATCTATTCTGCCATATTTGACCTTCTGCCACCTAGTGCCAAGTCTGTTTAATAAGTAACATCACCAAATAGCACCAACTCAGATATCACTGATAATCACAAAGGCTATCTACAAGAAAGTATATAAAATCTAATTTGAAGAATTTTACACCATAAGTTTTGTTTTGTTGTAGGTTACCAGTAACCCCACCCCCACCACCTGGGGTGATGAATATCAAGAGGAATTCTGGGTGGCCATTGTTTGCTACCAATGCTGATAAAGGAAAATTATATTACTGATTACTGAGTTAGCTACAATGTCTTCCATCAAATAAATTATGGAATACAAAACAGACGGGAATGATTGAACAAAACCATTAAAACCATATCGTTATCCTAATGAAATATTGATACTCCTAAAGCAATATGATGTGGGTTTAAAACATGAAGTCAAATAATAAAGTAATAACAAACTTGAGCTGTTTGGCAACATGTCCACAAAATGTAAAAATATCTGCCCTCTTAAAATATGAGATTAACTTTCAAAATTGCATATTTCAGATCTTTTTTTGTTGGACTTGAAACTGTTAATTATTATTGTTGATTTTATATATGGGACTAACTTTGTAAAGTAATGCCAAGCTAAATGTTCTAATAGCTGGTGCTATTCCAAGATTTTAAAACCACACTGATAAAAATTTAAAAAATTACTGTGATCACTTATTTCATTATATGAAATGTTATGTTAGGTTTACTTGTTCAACATTACTTCATTCATCTTTCATAGTGGGATAATGCAATATATTTTTTATTGTAACTATAAGAAACAATTTTATGCACATTTTAATGGATCAAAGAACATATTTACATGTTTTATAAAAAATGAACCACACAAATCCATATATATTTTTCTATCCCCCAATCTTGCCACATCTTTGTACAATCAATTAATTTGCTGGTTTTTTTATTTATTAAATTACAACCATACAAAACCACAGTTTAATTTGAAGCCATTTTGAGCAACAAAAATTTTCTTATTTAAATGAGAATTATATAACAATTCACCATGCAATACTAGTTATTAGTTTATATCAATAACAATATTTTGTCTTTTATGAGCCAAGACCAGTTGAATTGTATCTTATTTGTCAACAGTATTATTATTTTCTTGAACAACTAGTAGACCTCTCATTTAATTGTTAATATAACAAAACAGGACTGGTAAATCAAAAACTGATGATTGTGTCAAACAAACATGGCATCAGATATTCATTTTGAAAAGTGATATTGATGGCTAAAATGAAGAATCTTGTATGATCATCTAACAATGAATAACCAAGGCTTTTTTTTAAATTTTGAAATGTTTTGATAATTTATCTAACATATAATATAATATTCATATTCATATGTTACATACTTTAATATTTCATTCATTTTACCCTCCTTGTTAGTTCTTTATTTGTCAACATAATGATAATATTCAGGAAATATTTTATCAATTGCAAATTTTATTTTTCATTTTTATCAGACAATTTTTAGATGCATTATATATATTCCTTAGTAATGCCTTAGAATAAAAAAATGTTTACTTATGGAACTTATGTGCCCAATTTGTGACAAACCTTTAGTCTCTATCAAAAAAATACATTCTAGTGTGCAAATTTGCATGTAAAATGGACCTGTGATTAATTAAAAAATTTGGTATCCTTTTATAATGGGTTAAATCGAAACCTGGCAAAAGGTTTTGTCGGTAAATTGGTAGTTTGGTGATTCTGCAATCTAAATTCAACCTCTCTGTGAACATCCTCTTTCATATATATATTTCACGTATAAGATTTCTGTTGATAGAACTGTTAACTGCTGATCATGTAATAACCATCCGTTTTCATACCATGTTTTATTGATACATTCCTGTTATTATGTAAAATAAGGTAACTGATATTTTTGGGCTGCAGAAGTTTGGTCTCTTAAAAACTTTGTATTCAAAAATTATATTTTGAAATAAAAGAGATTAATATTATGTTAATTTCATGTTTTATTGAAAGGAATGTTGTGTTCGTATTTTCTGATTATCAGGTGACCGATTGGAGTTGATGGATTGGTATCAATATGGGAGATAACTCAATATCACAAAAGTGTAAAAGACCACAACTAACTTGAATGAACCACAAAAAAAAAAAAAAAAAAAAAAAAAATCCTTTTATCACCGAAACTACGTGTTTATTTGAGAAATTTCCATCGAAGAGCAGTTGATTCGCACATCCTCGAGGGTGCTTCAGTGTGTATTTCATATTTATATGCTTATTTCGTGGAATGGGTTTTCTAAATGCCAGAAACTAACAATCGTTTGACTCGTCATTGCTTACCTCGAGGTCCTTTCCTTGTGCAATTTTCTACGTCATTAAAATGAATTGAAAAGGCAGTTACAAATAAATTAAAAAAAAATTGTAATAGATTATAAGCTTTCACGTTCAAATTCACTAATAAAAAACTTTACTTCAATATTGTTTCAATACAATTTGCTGTAAAATGGACAATATCTATGTATATATAAAAAAAATCATATAACTCTTGGAATAAGGTAGTTATTGCAAAGCATTTTTTAACTCTATGCAATACTCTCAGAGGTTGATCTGTTTTATAAGAATATAAATTTCAAGGCAGAATGATGACATTCGATTCGGCAATCATCGGCAGTTTCCGTAAAGCTGAACCTAATTGCAGAGCCGTTTAGCTCATAATTGTGTACTCTGTATCCATTTGTTAATGCATATGCGCAATTCAGAGAAAAATACGATAAATTGATCAATATATATATAATGACATTATTCAGGAAATATTTTATCAATTGCAAATTTTATTTTTCATTTTTATCAGACAATTTTTAGATGCATTATATATATTCCTTAGTAATGCCTTAGAATAACAAATTTTGTTTAGTTATGGAACTTATGTGCCCAATTTGTGACAAACCTTTAGTCTCTATCAAAAAAATATATTCTAGTGTGCAAATTTGCATGTAAAATGTTGGACCTGTGATTAATTAAAAAAAAATTTGTATCCTTTTATAAAGGGTTAATGACATTATATATTATATAATTATATATATATATATATATGTGCGATGTGTAAATATCACATAATCGGATTGGAAAGAACGGGTTCATATTTTTGAATCAAACTGGTAACCAGACGAAAAGTACCTAAAGTAGTAAAATATCGACTACGGGTCTATTCAACATTGTATTACTAACAAAAATAAATTATATATTTGGAAAAATCAGGATTTATACATTGTATCAATTTGTTACACAACCTTTATAAGTCAGTTGTAGAGATTAAAAGACATTTTTCTCACTGCGATTGGATTTTTTTTTAGACTTCACTTTCAGAGAGTCCACATAGTTAATATTGTTTATTTCGTATTTATTTATTTATATGGCAGAGTTTAACAGTGAATTAAAAATTAGTTAGATATTCAGACTTATAAAATTTGAGTCATTCTTTCGCAATTGCTCGTGTACATACATGTATTTGATTTCTTCCCTTTTAAGATCTTTTTCATTAAAATTTACTTCTTAATCATTTTAACCGACTTTTTTAATAAAAACTCATATCATATGGACAAAATATAACAACGCAAATGAATATGATTCACTTTTCCGTAGTTCCACGTCTTCATGTATGATTGCAATTGGAGTAAAATTATTGCATTGATTTTTCTCGAACTGAAAATTAAAAATAGATTTACAGTCGGCCGTGTGCCAAAACTGGAATCACGCGCAGTTAATGTCAAGGCCGGTATATCTATATTGTTTTATTTAATTATGAATATATTATAAAGTGATTAATAAATTATAATATGTTGGGTGTATAAAAGTGAAATAATTAAACCTATACGTCACATAGACAACTCAGTCGGTGCGGTGCATGTGACGTCACATTAGAATTAGATGAGATCTTCCCATGATGCTTTGAGTATATATCTTACAGCGCGAAAGGCAAAAGTAGCCCTCATATCATTGAAATATAATACTTTTTCTTGTTAATTTTTTACACAAAACATACCGAAATTATTACAAGGCGCTATGCTAATTTTAAAGTTGTCAAAACTTTCGTAGGCCTGTACAGATGTAAAATGTCGCGTTTTGGGGAATATATTATAACTTCGACACTAATTCTTAACATATGCAATCTAAAGAGATGAATTTAGTAATTAAAATATCTTAGTGAGTTCAAATGGCGGTTTTCGTTTACCGCTTTTTTCGGGGTTGTGAATTTTAAATTATAATTATTTAACTGTAAATCAGATACAAATATATTTTATTTTTTAAAATTGGTTTACATTTTAAACTTCCTGTAAATACAATCCAATACTCTGATACGGTTTCAGTTGATATTTCAATTCGCATAAAAATGATTAACAAATATGATTAAAGTAATAAGCATACATGAACTTAAATGTATTTATGGGTAAAAAGGCATTAGCCAGTTGCAATAAAAGAACAGTTCAATAACTTGGATTATTTGGGCTGAATATAAATCAAAAAATGATTTATTTTTACGATTACTTTGATTATTTTCGCTCTTTTTGCACTTCGAGGGTATACCAAAATGGCCGCAAATGTTATACCTATATGGAAAAGTTGGTAGGCCTACTTCACCAAGACGAAGTTTTTAAACCCAAATTATAGGGTGATATGAAAATAAAACTAACCCTATAAATATGCCAATTGCGTCATCATAGATGGAATATAATATTTAATAACGTTTCATGCGATGTCATATTTTCAATTTGGTTCAATTTTGATGAATAGTTTTGCAACAAAAAACTTCCATTTCACCTGATTGACATGTTTACTACAAGAAATGACAACGAGGCTTGAGAAAATCTGCCGTGCGTACCCGTAAGAGTCCGTCATTAAACACTCAGGCCATAGTCGCAATGATCCTCTAGACAATTGAATAAATTTAAATACAAGAAACAGAAAAACTAATTGAGAACACTCCATTTATGCCAATCTCAATTTACTTATCAAAATAGGTTTCAAAAATTACAAAATTGAAAATGTCGACAGTCAATCGGATTTATTGCAAACAAGGGTATATTCTACATTTTCTTCTTAGAGTCTCGAAACTAAGTGCTCTAGTAAGTCGTTTTAAGGCCACCAAGAACATAGTTTTATAATACGACCGTGCATTTTGAGATTGCCATTCGGCCATTTTCACGATCCACGTTTCGCAGCGCCACCACCGGCCAATTGCATTGCTAATAAACCCCACCCAGTACTGCTGTCAAGTGACGTGTGCTGGCGGTGAGAGTAGTGTTTGTATGTCTATCAGTGTAACCCTCTCCATGACGGAGCCGGCAAATTTGGCTGTTTAGCCCGGCGTCCGGCTTGGAGACCCCACGGATTACCGTTTGTGAGTAATTGGATGTCAATGTGAAGGATATACGTGTATCAAACTGGCCAAAATAGCAGACACATTGCTCAGCAGTATGGGGTGCTTTCGGCGGAAAGAAGATGAGGACGAAAAGGTGCGAAAAGAAGCGAATAAAAGGATAGAAAAACAATTACAAAAGGATAAACAGTTATACCGAGCAACGCACCGTCTTTTATTATTAGGTGTGTATAGTGTTTTTATAAATCAGTGATTGTGTTTCATGGAAAATGGGATCTGAGTTGTGTTATGTACGGCCATTATAACTCGGAACGTTTATTTTAATAACCGATAATAATGAGCTGGATGTTTGTTTTTTGTAGGTGCTGGAGAATCGGGCAAATCGACTATAGTCAAACAAATGAGGATTTTACATGTTAATGGATTCGGTCCTGAGTAAGTAAACGTAAAAATTTAGTAAAACATATTAGTTTATATCTGTCGCTATGACCAACGACGGGGAAAATAGACGGCCGTATTATGCATGCATGACTGTTTCCAATATTGGTAGATAGGGGTATAGGACGAGTTAGATACCCTATTATACGCTCGAAAAATAGTCAGTTATTGGTATTTGGGGGTTTTATTAAATTACTAACACTGTCATTTATTATAGTGAGAGAAAACAGAAAATAGAAGACATCAAACGGAATATAAAAGATGCAATTTTGGTAAGTATGTCTATCCTGTCTCCCCCATAAATGAACTGAACCACTAAGATGGCGGCCATCGTGCTATATCTTTACACAATACAATTATTATACAGATTTTTTCCCACAAAATAACAATATTTTTACTCAATAAAATCACACAATTGGGCATTAAGAGTCTTATGTATTGATTAATTGTGGTTGTCCAATTGTTATTGTAAGCTTATGTCTATGTAATGAGTGAGGAATTCCGGTTTTGTTGGAGAAACATGCTGTAAATCGATGGAAAAGATTTTTGACATCCCGGCTACAGGGGAATCTAGGTTTATTATAGAAACTAGAGACTTATTGAAATAACACATTTCATTACTGAAAGGCCTGTAGAGAAATATAATAGTCTTTTGACTCACTATCATATGATTGCATTAAAAATACTTTTTCTCTAGATCAACCAATGTTCATAATTTTTATCTCATGGACTTGAGAAATAATCCTTGGGTTTTGAATATGGCATTTTTAAAATTTTTGAGTGATAGAAGGTATTTAGGGTTTGGCTTTAAAACGTGTGTTAAATGGTTGATTTGTACTAGGGCATTACAGTACCATTATATCCTAGTTGCAGTCATACATTGTTTTAAGGAGTGGATTAATTAAGCTGTATATTATATATTAAGATGTTATATAATAATAATAATAAGAGCATTATTGGAACAATATGGATCTGTGTTGGTGTTTATTTAATACTATGTTGACAAAAGGGAGATATTATAAAATAATTTCACTAGCAAGAGGCACTTTTTACCCAAGAAAGTATTCAAGTTCTGGGTACATACAATTTAACATTAAATGTTTAAAGTCTTGGAACTCTTTTACTGTTTTCAGGCTTTAAGATATGATAAACACCTACAAAGTGTAAATAAAAACTCCACAAGTTTCCATGTGCCCCGCATGTGCCATATTTCTTTCTTTTCAATTTAGACTAATTTTGCCAATGAAATTTCTATGTTTTGAGACAATTTGAGCAGTCTACAATACTTGTAAATCACTGTCAGATGAATTTTGATAAAAAGCACAGTTTTGACTCCCATCAATATACTCAAAACATCAACACTTTAACCTGTGTCAATGAACAGTTGAACCAATTGAGTTTAAAACTAAACATGACATTGTAGGCCTTCATGGATAAAGATGATGAATTCATTTATTCAGTGGTAGACTAATATACAATTGAATACTGTTTTTTCAACAGATATAGTTAAGATAAGCTGATATAAAATGATACTCTAAAAGTTATGAAATTTGAAATTTTGAATAGAAGATAAGTTAATAGTGTTTATCAATAGTGTATTTAACTAATCAGATTTCATTACATGCAGGTTTTATATTATAAAGCAAAAAATCTAGTTAAAGATCCTTGCAAAGGGTTAACATCTAAAGAACAATTCAGCAAAATAGGATTTGAATATTATTTTTGTTACTGGTACATTAGTGGAATGAAAACTATGACTAATGCGGTCCTTAAGGTAGAGGTTGAAATGGGAAATGTTTAGTCGTTTGGAGTGGGTATAATCCCAGAAATCTTCACATTGATTCCTGATAGGTTATATTGGCTGAATATTTTGTTTACTGAGATTGTGGTTTGCATGACCATTCAATCAGATCATGGAATGAATATGGAATAATCTCCTGAAAATGTTATAAAAATTTGCCATTTTATCAATTGATTTCCAATCTGTAGGAAAGTGTCCATATTGGATTTCACATGAACAAAAAATATGAATGTTGATGTTTTCTCAAGCTAAAAACTGAAATGCCTGTGCCATTTGCATGGTCTGTGATTTTATTGAAGTTTTCATGCTATAGTTGGCTGATCACTGTTGATAATTATGAGAGGTTGATTAAACAATAATAAGGTTATAACAATGTTATATGATAATAACCTCCAAATACTTAGTAAATATATACATATTTCATAAGGATATTATTTTTGATATGATTGATCTAAAACGTTACCATTATACCTATGTACATATTAACTCTGTTACACTACATTTTTGGCAAATGTTACTATGATTTTAACAAAGTCTTTCTATTACCTTAATCTGTTTTTCCATTACCTGTAGGACTGGGTAAAATTATCAAAATAATCAATTATCGTTACTAGTAATTTATAATAATATATTACCGATTATCAAATTTCATAATCGATTATGTCAAAGTTACATTTTCTTCTCTGTACCCGTTTACAACTAGTAATCTCTTCCACTTAGGTTCCCTTCAGCACATTACCTACCCACAATACACAATATTAACCGATCAAAGCGAAAATAGACTTCTATGACGCAATTACCCATGAAATTAAGAATTTTGGCATGTTTTTAATTTAGTATTTACAGGATTTCTAAATTGAATTATTTCGATTATTAATCGATTATCGATCGTTAGTCTGCGGTCAATAATCAATCTCAATTTGGTAATCGATACCCAGCCCTAATTACCTGTGCAATTTATACAAATTTTCAAGAAAAATTAAAGAGAGCACTTAAGTAAAAATTTGATATATATTATAATAAGGCAATAAGTAAAGCAAGCGCCCCTTATTTTTATTCAAAGTAGGCTATTATCAGATATTTTCTTAAACTATTTTTCCATTACCTGTCTGATTTATATTTGAATTTGCAAAAAATATTAGAATATGATGCAATAAGTAAAGCGCTCCTTATTTTCAGTCAAAGTATAATCTGATTTTTGAAAACTCTTTATTTTGCAACCTTATTTTCACATAAAATTTTGAAGAATATTGAGATGTATTTTTCTTGCGAATTTTTTCTCAAGATCAATACAAATTTCTCAAAATATCTTTATCTGCTGTATTAAAAATGTTAATGTTTAGCATATGTTTGAAAATATTGAAATTAAAAATAGTTAGATTGTAATCGAAAAAAAAGCACCCTTATGTGAATGAAAGGAAAGTATCAGATGAAAATATTATAAAAAATAAATCTTAAGTCAAAAAACAAGATCAAAGCAAATATATACTGGAAATATATTTGATGTTTGTTTTATGATCTATCATCTCTTATCTCTTAATTTTGCAAAGAGATATGCTATTTCAAAATTTCAGCCTGCATTAATATGAATGAATAAACCAATAAGGATCCGAATTGCAAAACGAAAAACGAAAACTAAAACAACAAAATGGCCAAACATTGGTAGCAGCTATTTAGATATAAGCTTACATATTCTATGCAAATCATCAATAAAGGCCAAATCAGTTTTGACATCAAGATCTGAATGCTATTGCAATCAATGATTTGATATTGTATATTTATTTTGCAGGTTGCAAATCATCCCTGAAATATTTTAATTGAATTGGGTGTAAAATTATTTTGGCAGCATTTGTTCTTGACTAATATTTTGGTATTCATAAGTGGTTTTATTGTAGTACCCCAGGCTATTTAAAAATTATTATTAGATAAAGTGTCAGGGAAGGTCAGTTCAGGGATGAAATTTCCCATCAGATTGTTTTTGTTTTAAAATTGTATGAAATATAGTTTAAAGGGCCATTTTGAATTTTTCACAAGAACGGAAAATTGAGGTGCTTAATTTAACAAAACTATCGACTAAAGTCCAGAGATGCATGTCCCTTACAATCTGAAAGTTCCAAGTAAATAAATTCTTCGTTAATTTTTTAACACCAAAAAAATATCTAAAATGTTTAGGTTTTTTTTTAACCCTTTGATCAAGTAGATACACAGTAGTATAAAGCATATTTTTTAAAAATATTTTTGCACATAATTTACGTCCTTTTCAATAATGAAGTTTTGCATGCTGCCATTTTAAGTTATGATAAACAAAACAATTATTGCAAAGCGTCAAATGTTAATTTTGTTCTCGAAAAATGTTCTTATGGATTGGAAAAACTTTCAGACCTGTACATGATATTCCTGATTGATCGGTTCAAAAGCTGGCGAAAGCGGGGTACTATATGAAAAGGAAATTGAAAGCTCTTTGTTCATAACGAACTTGAGGAAATTTCAAGAAATGGTGGCATGATTTGCACACGATGCATAAATATAATGGCTGAAACAAGATTTTGTCTGATATTACCCAAAAAAAACTCTTAGGAGCCTGATGAGAGCCCTCATTTCCTTGTCAAAATTAAATAGAAATTTCAAACAACTTTTAAGGTAAATCTCAGTTCAACAGAGACTTGAGAATTTAAGTCCTGATTTCGAAATTATTTATACAAAGCATCAGTTATATGTGGATTTTTCAAATTTTTTCATAATCCCTTAATGTCGTAATACCAGTCTAATTTTCTATTTGACACACTCAAAATTGACAAGTCAATATACATATTTAAATGCTAACTCACTTAAATTGCATGCAAGTTCAAGTAGATATGTCTGAGATGATGTGAACAATTTATTTATTTTTTGTCACATTTGTTTCCCAATCTTCCAGGGTACTAGAAAACCCACATAGAACAAGTGTTGTGTTGTTGCCACCATAATTAAAAAATATTGCTAGAAATATTTATATTTGCTTCTGTTAGGTAACAAAAAAGGTTTTATTATTTAGTCATAGTTTTGCTATAGATGACAATGATCTCTTATTGGCATAAATATATTATTTCTTCTTCCTGTCTTCAAAGATTAGTTAATTATTTTCTGATTTTCGTGGACAAAATACAAGGTTTTTGACAATTATTTTTGTTTTGATTACTAACATTGTGTTAATTACATGTAGAACTACCTAAAAATGAATCAGACTGAATGTATTTATGTTTTTAATCTGACTCTGGATAGGAATAACTTCTTTACTGGACTATAACCGGCAATATTCCAAAACAAGGGGAGACATACTATGCAGTATTATACTGTTCTCCTTGTAAGTTCTGAATTCTTTGTGACATGAATGAGAAAATAGCTCAGATAATTCCAGATAAACGTCTATAAAAGGATACAACTTTAGGCTAATATTGTAAATGATTACTTTTATATCAATGAAAAGGTCAGAATTTTATAGTAGGATGAAATGTAGGTTGCTGAATTTGTGTTCAGCAAAATCATCAATTTCTAATTTAGGCAAATGTTAAGAATAAAAATACTAATTTCAATGCATGTACAAAATGTCCTCACAGGCATTTCAGATATATACTTCTGTGATGTCATAGACTGAACTGAAAGACCGGCATTCTGTCATAGAATTGATCATTCAGGGACATATTATCATGCAATATAGAGATGTTAAGCATGGGCAAATACATGATCAAGATTTCAAGCAATATTATCAAAGTATTTCTCAGCTGATGAAACCCTGTTTCAGTTGTCGAAGGGTGGACAATTTGAAGAAATGACAAATAGCACATTGATTTTCAACTTGAAAAGTGACACAGTAACAGAAGTTAAAATCTATTTTGAAAGCAACTATTTCTATGATTATAAACCAAACGACCAATATACACCAATATATATATATCTGAGAATTGGAACCAGGCTTTAGTCACTATAATCATAAAGAGTTTTAAGGGTTGATTTTAGTGGAAATTGTAATGCCAGGGTTACAAAAAAGTACAAAAAATATTGTCAAAGGCATATTCATCATTATTAAATCTCCAGATAGAGCTGGTGAAAAAACTCAACTGACAAACCGTTGATCCCTAAAACAGGGCTGATTGGTTGGTGCCAATTCCAAGTAAACAATATATAAAGTTATGTTTGTGTATGTTACCTTTTCTAGCAATTTAATTGAAATGTTACAATTACTTTAAGGATTTTGTCCATAGAAATTTATTTTGTCTCTTTTAACCAAATTTGTTATACTTTATTCTATTTTATCTGGTTTATTATAGGCTTTTTACCCTGGGGCTATATCTTCTTTTCTTACTTTATTTTTACTTCTTCTTGTTTCTAAAATAGGAATACTACTCTCACTAAAATAACTGATGCAAAAATAAGACAGTTTGTCAGGCAATTTATCTTGAAAGTTTTACTAAGAATCTACACCCTCAACTGGTTTGACACTTGGTTTAAAATAGATCATGACATCATTTTCTGGGAAATGGACAAACATTATCTTACTAGGAGTTTTAATGTCAAAATTAAAGGAATTGTGAAGAAATGTTCCCGAAATATGTGTAGAAGGGACACTGATAGCATAGATTTGCAGGTGGTTGCGGTTTTTGCAATTAATTCCACATAAACTTTTGTTTTATGACATCAATAGGTCTTTATATATCAATAGCAGCTTGTGCAGTAGTATTAATAATGTTGTAAAACGCTTACTTTTAGTAAAATTGCAAGAGCTCTGGCTGAAAATTAGAAGGGTGCAAATTGATGATGTTAGTTTTGTTCATTTACCAAATTTGTGATTCACTATATATTTGAATCTAGTGATGTTACGATAAAAATTTACTATTTCAATTTACGGAACTTAAACTAAGGTAAACATCTAAATCACTGAAATAAATGCAGATGTGCATTTTACCAAGTTCTGTGCATTTTTATTGGCACAGTTTAATTACTAGTATCTATTTTTTGCTTTCTTTGTATATCTTGTGTTAATGAAGTTTGGTGGAAACATTTTGTATGCTGAGTAAAACTATGGTAGTTAAAATCTAACAAGATTGTGTGCATTCATTTACAATGTTTTTAGGACAGTTAAAGTTTAGAATTTCCAGCCAGTGCAATGCATAATGAGGTGTATTAATAGAAATGAAATCTATTTTTAGAATAATTTCTTGTATTTATAGAGCCTGTTCTTGTCATTAAAAATGCATGTTTATATGGTATATTGAAACACTAGGCCTACTTACTTATTGCAGCTATTTATAGAAATTACTAACACCTAAATTTTTGATGTATGTTTTTTTATCGCAATGAATTTCGTCAATGAATTGAGTGCAATATACAGGCCTCATATTATGTACGCATTATAAATCGTGTCTATATAAAGTATTTATTGTGCTCTTAAAGGTTTAAGTTTGAGTGAAGAATGATATTTATAATATTTATATTGTGTTTTGACAGTTTAGGGTTGGAAGTCGTTCCAGTGCTCTAGCACTAATCTTTGGGATTTTGAATGCCTGATTAATTCCTTGTCTGTACAATAGATTCCCAATAATGGTTGTCAAAAAAACCCCAAAAAAACTAGTCGGCTATTAATTATAGAAAGTCTCTCTGAAAGGGATACATAGTGTCATCATCACTTAAAAGGGAGAGTTATGGGCTTAAGAAACAGATGAAATTAAGTCCATGTTATAAAGCAAAGAAATCTGAAAATAACCCTGTTATGTTACAATGTTTTTACATAAACATAACTATAAGAATGACATATAAAATACTTTAGTAAGGCTGCACAAAATTTATAAGTTGTTTCATAATTAACCTGTTCTGTACCATAATTTACCTTGGCTGTATGGTACTGTACCATAATTTACCAAGGCTGCACTGATCTGTACTATATTTTATCTTGGCTCTACAGTATTGTACCATAATTGACCTTGGCTGTACAGTACTGTACCATAATTTACCTTGGCTGTACAGTTCTGTACCATAATTTACCAGGGCTGTACTGATCTTACCATAATTTACCTGGGCCATACGGTACCCTACTATTACTTTCCTGGGTAAGGTATGGTATCATACCGTAATTTACCTATTGTGTACCATAATTTACAAGAACTGTACAGTACTCTACCATTATTTACCTAAAAGGTACTTTTATCTAAAATGTATAATTTACCTTGGCTATAAGGTTTTGTACCATAATTTTTCTGAAATGTAAAGTACTGTACTGTTATTTACCTGGGATGTACACTACTGTACCATATTTACCTCGGCTGTACGGTATTTCCTAAACTGTACGGTACTGTGTCATAAATTATCTGTACTGAATGGTACTGTAGCATAATTTAGCTGAGTTGTCCTCGACAGTAACAGAAGTGCTAGACAAAACTGCAAATGATATTAGATGTTTTTTTTATAAAGCCTCAAATTGTCAGACATGATCAACCATAAGAATAATTATTGTTCTGTGCAACTAAACATTCTCTATTCTGAAAACAAAAAGTGAATAGGAAATATATATTTTTTTTTTTACATGGCCTAAATATATGATAGTGTATATAGGTCAGACCATTTTAACATACATCACATTTCAGTACTATATTTAGAATAAATTACACATAATTTAAACTGGTTTGTTTCTTACTAAGTGTATTTTGTGATGAAAATAACTGAGAGTTGGTCGTTATCTAGTTCATTCACATTTACATTATTTACATCTCTATATATCTTACCGACAGAACAGTTTAAAATCTTCAAATTGTAGTACACAATCCTCAACTTGTCAAGGTCAAATATTTTATTATTCGTCAGGTGTCCCATCTCAAAAGATAGATTACATCATTTATCCTTTTGTCCCTTTTATGGTTTTATTCAATGTAGTATTTCATGTAGCTATGCATTTTTTGAGAACAGACAGATTAGTTGATTTGAGCACTGGAATCTTGTAATGTTAAATACATGAATTTTGGGTTCTATTCTCTGTAAATGGTTCCAGTTAATCTCAATGCTTAGACTTTTGGCCAAGAACCAGCTAGTAGACCCTAAGAGCTTGAGAACTTAAGTGATTATCCTCATAAAATTTTGCTTTTCCTTTTTGTCTTGATTGAACTTTCTGTGTATCTTAAAATTTGTATCCTTCGATCCTGCCACAGGTGCGTTCAAAAAATGGGGACGTAAATCCATTTCATTTTAACCTTTTTCCTGCTATATTTGTTATATACATTATTTTCTGAATGATTAATTATGAATTTATTTTATATTATAGACAATTACAGGTGCTATGAGCACATTAAACCCACCAGCTACATTAGAGAATCCTGATAACCAATTTAGAGTGGATTACATACAAGATGTAGCCAGTCAACCAGATTTTGACTATCCCCCAGTAAGTACTTTTACTATTTAATCTGCTGCTTATTAAACTTTATAAATTGATTAGTGGTCACTTTTTTTTTCAAATGCTCACTTCTGATTTTTGTGTTGAAGCAATGCTTTCTCGTTGAATATCTGTTATTCTTGGGATGTTGTGATGCTTGTGCTGTTGTGTTTGTAGTATCCATGGTATACTATCTGGAACTACGGTACTATACAATACTAGATATTTGATTGTTTATAATGGTAGAACCTGTATCTTGTTATTACTTGTAATTGTGCAATTAGTGTCTATAGTAGAAGAGTGATCAATATTGTGTATATCATTAGAGATAACTAGGCTTATAATACAACATCTCATCAGAATTATATGTACTCTGAATTAACCATTCTGTATATCCTATATAACTGCAATGAAAGACAATGGTATGCTTCAAATTCCTAAAAAGTGATGAAGTAAAACTGTAAATATTAAAAATAAGAAGGGTGTAAACCAGGATCACAAATAGGGCTGATAAGTCTGTAAATTTTGAATTTTTTTTGATTCCCTATCATTGGGAATCTGGGAGTAATTTTTTTTTATATATGCAGGGTATCATGTTGAAACACTCTCACCTTTGAAATTTCAAGTTGGTTAGTTAGCATTAGTACATGCATCTATCTCTATATTTTGTTAGTAATTTTGTATAAATAAATGATTGTTGTGAAGTCATTGTATTATATAAAGATAGATAGTCAAATACTTATCAGAACTGAAGTTATTGTATTATACAAAAATAGATAGTCAAATACTTATCAGAACTGAAGTTATTCTATTATACAAAAATAGATAGTCAAATACTTATTAATAAAACTGTATTTAATACCACATTGAAAAAAGCCAGGATGACAAAAACTAGCAGTAAAGATAAAAGATTGAGTTTATATTTTCTATTGATTTACTTACTATACTCTCATTTACCTTGACTACTTGTTACTAAATTTAGCATACCATATACTATAATCAATATTCAAGTTATTTACATTCTCCCTGCCGACCCAACCGGCCGGCTTTCTCATTGACATGCATGCTATTTATAGATTGAAACTAGGTGATATCTTTCATTCTAGAATTTCATGCACTTTTATTGCATTATATTACAAAGGTATTTAATGCATACTAGACATATTTGAATTAAAGACATTAGATATAGCAGTGTCCAGTATTTATCAATGGAAGTAAATTGAAAGTGTGTAGATCTCTATTATTAATTAGAATAAGCTTACTGTTCAGGTCATTCACATCATCATGACTCATAATTTACATGACAACCAGTTAACACTAGCTAGCAAGTCAAGTGGAGTTTTACATCCTACTGTTGTGCCCCAAATAGGGCAAAACAGTTATGAGCAATGTCATGCAGTGTGCAATGAGAGTAGTTAGCCTACTCTCACACCATTGTCATCTGTTTAGAGATTATCTGTGGCATGAGGAATGGAATATTGTTCCAAAATAGCTCCTATGACCTGCATCATTGACACTATCTCAATCTATTCTGGTTTCAAAATTTAGTTCAAATGTTAGTAAGAAACAACTCGCAGAGCCAAAACTAGTCCATATTGGCCACGATACAAATATTTTACCACATGAAAGCTGAAGCATAAAATGTCATGTGATGTCACCTGGCAACCATTGCTTCTGAGGCGTTTTGGATTTAAAAAATTACTGAGTGTAGGGAATTAACGAAATGCAATATAGAAAACGTTCAAATTGTCTATTTGCAGGAATTCTATGAACATACAGAAATATTATGGAAAGATAAAGGTGTGCAGGGATGTTTTGAACGATCTAATGAATATCAACTTATTGATTGTGCACAGTAGTAAGTATTATTTTATACAAATTAGTCAGATAACTTCAGGTACTTGTCAACCTTCCACATTTACCTTTTGATGTCCTCCTTACCCCAAACAATTCAATCTGTTGATCTGGATTTTTTTCTTTTGTTTTGTGCTAGTGGTGACTTCACTCGACATCAATGATCTTAACAAATTCTTCTTTAAGTCGTGTTCAGTCAAATTTTGACAAAAGGACATCATCAATGATCAAAAACAATTCCTTGCATATTTTTTGATTGATCAGAAATTTTATTGGTCAAAGACTTTAGTAAAGCATTGTGGTGTAAACACATCAAGATCTGCATTTTTATTTAGTTAGTTAGTATATCCAGTGTCAACCTTTAGGCTCTTGACTCTCAATGACTGTTTGGCTTGATGACCAAGACTATAAATCTAAAGCAGATCATATACCCATTATTATTATTTCTCCGGGCTAGATTAATCAAGACGTGTTATGAGAGATCATCCTGCTAACAAAATAATCATATTTACACCTCCCACTCACAATTGTCACATATATTGTATATTGAATTGATGTATAACAAATGTACCAAATAAACAATCCGAGAGATATGTGGGCGAAAGGGTGAAAAATCTAACTGCAAAGATGTATCAAGTGATGTACAAGGGTGAGCATGCCATTGGCAACCGGTACATACTTATTTTTATGGAGCTTATACTACACTAAAATTGTTTTAGTGATGACAACAATGAAGAAATTACCTTGGTCCATATAATACAAATACAAAAATATCTTGACGGCATCATGATATACAAATACAAAAACATCTTGAAGGCATCATGATACACAAATACAAAAACATCTTGAAGAAGCCTCATGATATACAAATACAAAAACATCTTGAAGAAGCCTCATGATATACAAATACAAAAACATCTTGAAGAAGTCTCATGATACACATCTTGAAGTCTTCATGACATACCAATATAAAAACATCTTGAAGTCCTCATGATATACAAATATACAGAAACATCTTAAAGTCCTCATGATATACAAATACAAAATTACTTTGAAATTCTCATGATATACAAAAATACAAAAACAACAGAATTTTCCTGGCATTGTAATTAATATAAATACATGTTTTTGAGTAATGTTTTGTTGTATGTATAGACATATCACCAGACATTGAATTTTTACTTGTAACAATTCTGATTGTCTGACTGATTGTATGCCCCTGAATTATGTTGTTATGTCATAGACCTTTAGTTCAAACATTTGAAAATCAGGAAAAGGTTTTAATTTGCAGGTATGTAACTTGGTTGTTAACTATTTCAGAATCATTATGTTGAAATGCATTGTGAAATGCCCAAAACTGCAAAAATGCAAATATGCATCACAAAGTGAAACTTTATGGCTTTGTTTTCATTTTTTGGAGCAAAACTTTTTTTTTTATGACGGTATTTAACTTAGGAAACATTGGTTCAGGATTCCCTCCATGCATACTTGTTTTTTTTAGTTTTGTCTTAGTTTAAAATGGTGCTCCACAGCCTAAAACTCAATTTAGTGTCCTCTTTTGACCCCACTCGAAAACAATTTGATTTTTCTTTAGATTGAATCTTAATGTTTGAACTTGTCACTTGTGAGTAGTTCACTGTCCTCTATATTGGAATGTGTGTAAAACAATTTGCCTGTAGTGTGTTAAAATAATCTATTTCCATATATTCTAGTAAGATTTCTTGTCGACTGTGATATGGTGTACTAATTGTTGGCATGGACCCAATTTAAGTATATATTGAAACATTGAAAGTTGTGAAATCTTCTGATCTGCTATCAATACAGTAATCAACATTGCCGTCTCTGATTTGATTCTCCATGCATTTTGACATTTTCTTTGTGGATGACCTAAACATGTTTGTAATTCACTGGCTTTGTACCTGTCAGTACCTTAGCAAAGGTTAGACTGCCTTCTTGAAGTCTTGTAGGGTTTCTGCAGAAAGGAATTGTCAGATTAGATAGATTTGTCCATTGATTTGCAGCTTTTGTAGAGAAGTTTCATAAGATATGGTGTAATAGTGTTTATGGTCAATATAGCAAGAGTTTGGTGCACAAGGAGTTTAGAGTAGGTTCCCTCTTGATGCATCTTCTTAACTTCAGATTTTATATTGAGGCTGCCATGGTCGGAATTAATTCGTATTAAAGTTTCTTTTACACTCTGGCAATGAGTGCAAGATGGTGATGAGATCACAATCTCCATAGAAGCACTGACCTAGGTCACAAAGCAAAGACTAGAATAAAATAGTTTGATGTGTGTGTTGATCTTTTCTTAATGTAGTTCCACACTACTTGGCAAGTAATCTGCAATCCACCCCCATACAAATGGCTTCTAATTGTGCCATCTCACAGTGGTATCTACCAGTGACGTTGCTACTAAGATAAGAGTCTATAAGTATTGACAACTGGTAGAAAGGCAGTAGGATATAGTGTTAAGAGCAGGCCATGATACTTCACTATTTCACACTCATTCTAGACTAATTTAGTAACAGTCAACTCCATGATGCTCTAAAAATAAACTTTGATTGAGTTACAAGGCTGTTGAGATCAGACTCGCTGCAGCTCAATTCAAGGGAAGAATTCAAGATAATAAGAAATAGAATTTAATGTATTAATATAACTAATGCTTACTTGAAAGTTTAAGATTCATGAAAATTGAATTTTTGGAGTTAAGGTATATGTGTTGCAACATAGCGATTATTCAATGTTACAAAAGCACAGGTGTAGCCTTAAGGATATAACCCTGAATTAGGAAGTATAGTTAAAAAAGGGGGTCAGGGTAAAGCAATTTTCATTTGATCTGATATCTGGTAGGAGTATACGAAGAATGTGATGCTCCTTTTTCAATTAAACTGAACATAGAAAAACAAAAGGAGCTAGATATACAGAAATGATATACAATTGATAATACCTGTAAATAAGCATTATTGACAAGCCAAATTCCAAAGACTTTGGAATACTTGATATTTGTTGCAGAAAACAGGAGGGTTTTTGTTATATTCATACATAAAGCATGTTACTGTAAACATATTAACACATTACCAAGACATTCCTTTATAGTATATAAATAAACAGAGAATAGATTCTTTCATGTGATCTCCCTTATTCACTCTAATAATATTAGTCTCCGACTCTCCATGTTGTGCTTTTGATCTGTACAATAATGTAAGGACCCTTAACCCAAGCAAGATCTCTTACCAGTAGCAGTAACCTGAATAAGATCTATTTTAGCTACAAAGTGATCCGTTACTCAAGCAAGATCTCTAAGAGCTACAAAGTGGTTCGTAACCAAAGCAAGATTTCTTCAGGTACTAAGTGATCTGTAAGCCAAGCAAGATCTCTTGGCAACAAAGTGATCTATAACTTGGGCAAGATCTATTTTAGCTTCAAAGTGATCAGTAACTCAAGCAAGATCTCTTAGACCAGTATCTGAAGTTAGATCTCTTAGATTACAAAGTGGCCCATAACCCAAGCAAGATCTCTTACGGTTAAAGATCCTTCTACAGTTGGAAATTTAGGTGAATGTCACTCTCTTGGCAAAATTTCGTTTTATGTACACTGCATTACATTTCCTCTCTTCATTGGCTGACACAAGAGCAGAAAAAAGCTTATGATACCCAGAAGCTGATACTTGTTCTTGGATGTCTGATACTCCACCAGTAAGACCCTACTACATTATCAGATAGCAGCCCATGTCAGATGTCTATAATATATGCAATGAAATTAGGTTGAATTGTGAATAAAATACAAGAGGGGAAAAATTCAATATGCTGACTAACCATGTGATATAAATTATTATAGTACACTCACTCTTGTACTGCCTGTCACAATTACACCAAGTTATTTATAGAAACATAACCCAACTTAACATAATAATACAGTCTATAAATAGATGGTGGCAGGGTAATGGGTCATGGCTGCTCTACAGTCATATATTGTAAGAGTTTTATAATTAATACTGTGGTTTTTATACATAGCTTACCAGTATTCTAGTCCTATTGTTAAATACCCCTTCATTAAATTACTACACTCTTTTTTATTCATGGAGAGATTATCTTACAGTATTTAGTGAGGACTTAGACTGAGTTAATGCCCTTGATATATTACCTAGGTTTATGCATAGCATGTTTTTCTAAACCAATCAGAATGTACAAGTGGCATTGCATATACATGATACTGAAATGTTATCAGCTGTTGCTTTTTATGCCTAAACTAAAAATTATATCCCGATGACACAGGTCTGCAAGTTCCTTAAAAGTTCGTTATCATGTCTGTAAAAAATGAACGCTTCTTTCTTTTGTATTGCAAGGCTTACTTATATTATATTTAGGTAGTAAGGTGTTAGTGTTTCACTTCCTATTTCTTTAAATAAATCTCTGTAATCAAGGAATTTTAAAAAATCTTTTACACTCATATCAGTTACTTGATACCTTTTTATTAATCAGATTTCTCGGCCCAGTTTCTGGAGATGTGTGAGTCTCTTTATCATGTAAATTTTCTCTGATTGCACACAATATGCTGATGCAACTCTTCATTCATGCTTGTTTTTTAAGCTTTTTATGTGTATCATGGATAGCATCAATATGCACTGTGCCAATTTTCAGTCAAACGTCTGTTGCTTTTGCAATTATAATAAAACTACGCATTTCATGAGATTACGAATGCAAACTGCCATAGATGTGAATAGCCAATTAGCTTAGTGCAAAGTGATGCTATCAATGTCCCCAATACATCTAATAGTTTATAAAAACCATGTACAATGCCTTTAAAGTAATGGGGTTTTGTAAATTGCAACACAAATTTCACCTGATAATGTTTTTGGATGTGATTGTATAATAGAGTCATTTATCAAGTCTTCTTATCTTATATTGAATAGTTGATCAGATGTGAACAGAGCTTTGTTGACTACTAAGGCTTGTGTTGTCACATAGCAATATTGCCTAGCAACAGACAATTGTGTTAAATAATTTGTTTTAATTAGGTATTTTTCTCTGATATTCTTACATATAGTTTTCTTGACTCTAACGCTGAGTAATTATCTTTATCATTATTATTCAATAGGTGTAGGATGGGCAATGGGGCTCATGTGGATTTCACAATGGTCCAAATTCTATTTGTCAAACTCATTAAAGCTGGCTAATGAAAAGGTGATTGTACTGAAATATAGAATGCTGCATGTCAGAATAGCTCAGTAGCACATAAGTCTTCTGAAGAATAGCTCAGTAAGAGTTCTCATGCACATCAGTCTTGTGAAGAATAGCTCAGTAAGAGTTCTCATGCACATCAGTCTTGTGAAGAATAGCTCAGTAAGAATTCTCATGCACATCAGTCTTGTGAAGAATAGCTCAGTAAGAATTCTCATGCACATCAGTCTTGTGAAGAATAGCTCAGTAAGAGTTCTCATGCACATCAGTCTTGTGAAGAATAGCTCAGTAAGAGTTCTCATGCACATCAGTCTTTTTAATAATAGCTCAGTAAGAGTTCTCATGCACATCAGTCTTGTGAAGAATAGCTCAGTAAGAGTTCTCATGCACATCAGTCTTGTGAAGAATAGCTCAGTAAGAGTTCTCATGCACATCAGTCTTGTGAAGAATAGCTCAGTAAGAATTCTCATGCACATCAGTCTTGTGAAGAATAGCTCAGTAAGAGTTCTCATGCACATCAGTCTTTTGAAGAATAGCTCAGTAAGAATTCTCATGCACATCAGTCTTGTGAAGAATAGCTCAGTAAGAATTCTCATGCACATCAGTCTTGTGAAGAATAGCTCAGTAAGAATTCTCATGCACATCAGTCTTGTGAAGAATAGCTCAGTAAGAATTCTCATGCACATCAGTCTTGTGAAGAATAGCTCAGTAAGAATTCTCATGCACATCAGTCTTGTGAAGAATAGATCAGTAAGAATTCTCATGCACATCAGTCTTGTGAAGAATAGCTCAGTAAGAATTTTCATGCACATCAGTCTTGTGAAGAATAGCTCAGTAAGAATTCTCATGCACATCAGTCTTGTGAAGAATAGCTCAGTAAGAATTCTCATGCACATCAGTCTTGTGAAGAATAGCTCAGTAAGAATTCTCATGCACATCAGTCTTGTGAAGAATAGCTCAGTAAGAATTCTCATGCACATCAGTCTTGTGAAGAATAGCTCAGTAAGAATTCTCATGCACATCAGTCTTGTGAAGAATAGCTCAGTAAGAATTCTCATGCACATCAGTCTTGTGAAGAATAGCTCAGTAAGAATTCTCATGCACATCAGTCTCGTGAAGAATAACTCAGTTAAGTTCTCATGCACATCAGTCTTGTGAAGAATAACTCAGTTAAGTTCTCATGCACACCAGTCTTGTGAAGAATAACTCAGTTGTTATCTCACTGTGTAAAAATCAGGTGATATTGAACTAGTAATGCAGGTATTGTCTCATTATTCTAGTTGACTAAGCTGTGAATATGTAATAATGATCAAATAAAGCTTCTTGCTGAGACGTTAACCTGGTTGGCAGAATCCTCATGTTATTGTTAAATATGGATTCCTTTCTTTGAATCCTTGTATATTGATATATACCTGTTTCTGAATTAACCTTTTCAATGCTATACTTAACAAAAATTTAAGGAAGCTATGAAGGATGTATAGAGCATGACAACTTGTATATGCAATTAGATCGATATTTCGAATGGGCAAACAATTCATAACTATAGATCAAAGCATGGGGCATGTATCACATGTTTAGGAAAGGGGGCTTTAAATCATAGTATGATTTTTGATTTATAATCTAGATAAATTATCATAGATAAATAAGTATTTGAAAACAATAGGATTTTATTGTGTAAATCTAGGTGAAAATAATATATAGCCATCTCTTGTGTAATCAAATATAGTCAAGTAAATAGAACACAACTCAACAAAATCTCCCTGACAATTAGAAAAATAACAAGATGCTTTTAGCGACATTTTATCCCTGCTTATATTGATTGGAAAAGATAATTGAAGTCCTCGTAGCTGGCTACATCATGTGACCTAGTGTTCGTTACTCAGTGTATGACAGTTAGTTAGTTATTGGTCACACACACTGAACAAATGATTTCAACATCACCATTAGGCCTTGTATTCAACTTGAAATATATTTCTCAATATTACTTGTCCTGTAGATTAGTCATAATGTATGTATGTTTTAAACGTGTAATTTGATGTAGGCCTAGTTCACATACACTGATATTATATTTATTATTGATTTTTATACAATTTAATACCAAGATTGGTATTTGTCTGGAAAATTGCATTTCAGATACTGTTAACATTTCAGATACTGTTAACATTTCAAATACTGTTAACATTTCAGATACTGTTAACATTTCAGATACTGTTAACATTTCAGATACTGTTAACATTTCAAATACTGTGAACAAGTCTATAACCTATTTTTGGTATCCTGATTGAGGGAAGAAAGAGGCCAATGTCTAGCATTGTACAATTAGAGAAATTTTGCTAGGACAGTGGCATTAGCCTCATCTTTATTCCATTTCCTACTGCAAGGGGATCTTTTAAAAGTCTTCTCCTATTTTGACACCTAAGATTGCGAGAATTTAACTCAATGGGTGTATGCTTGGATGGAAATTATGTCAGGAAAGAGGTCAATAAATCATTAATAATAATCATGTTACATCAAATAATTACAATCCTCAATACTAACAAAATGATCTAGTCCAATGTAGGCCTACATTGATTTGGTATTTCAAGACACTTCCTGTCTTATTTTGATCATAGCAAAGGCTGAAATGCTATGTGTAGATGTTTGTTTTTATCGATTCCCTTGGACCTATTGTTTTCTTATTAATTGGCATATTTTTCTGTAAATATGCTAATTTATTAAGTAATTATATGCAAATTATTGATTGAAAACTATGAAAGGATTAAAATGGCAGTTTGTAGAGGAGGAGAGCAAAGAAGGATAGTTTTCCAATAATATTGATGATTTGTTCGGGCATTTAATGAGAGCGAAGTAAATGTTAAACCAGTTGTATGCTAGGTAACCAACATCACCAAACACAACTAGTAACTATTAGTTACTGTTTACTATCTATTTATTTTCTATTATATTTTAACTAATATTTTATTATTCAAGTATATTTTATATGATGATATTGATGAGTTAGGGTAATGGCCGTGATTGTTATCATGTTCTATTAAAACTTAATGTACTGTATTGTCCAGTTCTTGTAATGGGTGGTCAGTCATTGTTTCAAACATGAGGTTATGGGAAGGGTTCCAAATGAAAAAATATTGTTTGAAATCCAATTTATCTAATGATGCCATGTACTTAAACCGTATTTGAATCAAAGCATACAAGATAAGACTAAGATAACTTTTTACCTTTAAACCTTGATTGGAATGATGAAAATTGATGCTCTCAGAGTCCTTTAATTTTAGAAAACCTCTTTACAATCCCTATAAACATACTCAGTACAGGCTTACAGTGACAGAATTGGTATCTGGTCATCTGACCCTTGTACATTTATATCCTCAACTTGGCCAGTAGACCTATATATATATTTAAAACAATTGTGATTATTATCATATTCTGATTAACTTAACAAAATATTTTATTGATAATAAGTAAAGGTTTAAAACATCATAATGGTGAAAGAAACACCCATAGCACATAATAAATTTATTATTTCTGTTTAAAGAAAAGAACTATTGTTTAGCATATTTGAATATAGATTTAAACACTATTGATTGTTGTACAAATTTGTAAATATTTTCAACAAGTTGTTGACTGATACCAGGATGTATAACTGTCACCCACACACAATATTTAGAATGCCATTGGCCATGATTTGCGTCATATTATAAGTATGAGTATCATAAGTAAGGTATTCTTAGAAGGTCATATAATAGTAACATAGTGTTAACCCTGTCCCCTGACATAATAACTGTATCCTACACACATTTATTTATTTCATTATACATATTAATATTATATAAACATCCTAGAGCCCAATGCTCTACCAGAAAACTAAACTCAGAATAATCAGATCTTAACATGAGATAGGAACTCTGCAATTAAACTATCCTTAGATAAATGGAAATAAAAAAACATAAAATATGTTATTGTACTGTTCCAGGGCCTTGTCTCTCCAATAAATCTTACACCAAGCATTTGTCATAAGTCTGGAATTATCAATGAGAAATACCACAATTACATCAAAATTGATCATAAGATTTTTTTTGTGAAACAGGAACCCAGCTACACATTCTCGAAACAATCTTGGCGCTAGGATGTCCTAAACCAGTGTTAGAAGTTCCTAGAATATCCTAGAGCTAAGGCGTTGCAAGAATACACCAGAATGCCTGGTGTCTATCACCACCCTTAAGGTGAAGAAAGAAGATTGTTAGAATTCATTAAAGTTTATTTCAATTCTTCCCTTGTGTTCAGTTTTGCTGATATGAAAAATTATTTTATATTTTCAGTTTCTTAGACCGAGTACATATAGTAAAAGAGTCAGATTACACGCCAACAGAACAGGTAAAAACATTCACTATTTGCATAAATTTTCAAGTGTATTTTTCAAAGGATGGCATTTATTCACTTCAAGGGATATTGTCAGCTAAATTTTCTACTTGCTGACAGCTACTGGCTTCCAAAAGAGATTTCCAAATGAACAAATAAACTTCTGCTCATTTCAAGACTGTAAGAAATGCCAAATTTTCTGATTTATGCTACAAATAGTTTAAATTTAGTTCTATGAAGTTTTGACTATATTCACTCCTACTAAATCTCTTTAAGGTTGAACTTATGCATGGTTTATGATTATAGTTATAAAAGTATTGTTAAATGATTTATAGTGTAACAGTAGTCATACAATTGCTCAACTTTTATACTTGAAAAAATACTGCAATATCAGCATCCTAGAGTTTGAGTTTTTGAAATAGTTTTTTCAAAATTTAGCCAATAGTAGGTCTTTTTCTGTGCTTTCCATGCTGATAATAGCCAAATATTAACAAATTGATTATTGTCCAATATATCCAACAATTACTGAAACATAACCCTCTAGAGGCTATCAAATTTATGGCACACCCTTTTGATACTACAATAGTGTTAAGTATAGAGCGTATAATTACCACAATTGAGATTGAGAAGTGCACACAAATTTAAAGTGATGACAGTTCAAGTTATTTTTATAGTTTGATTTTTGAAGTTTTCAATAACAGTTTTGAAAAGAAGCAATTTTAAACTAAGGATTGAATGTTTATCTTGCTACCAGTATGGGGAAATAAACGTTGATTTATCGTATGACAAACTTTTCATATCTACTTTGCAGGTTTGTCACCTCATAAAGGTGCATTTATTTCCATATAATAATCCATTAGTTCGGCAGTTTTGAAACTCAAGATAAATATGGGACTAAGCTATCAACTTAAACATTTGAAATTGAAATTTGTTTTTCTAGGATATTTTGCGATGTCGTGTGTTAACATCAGGTATATTTGAAACAAGGTTTACAGTGGATAAAGTTAATTTTCAGTAAGTTGATTCGTTTATTCTGCAATTTTGATCATGATCCCCAAATTGTTAAAAAGTAAACCTTAGCAGGTTGTCTTAAAAAACATACCTCTTTCAAACAAAGGTAAATGCTAGTTGTCAAGTGATGTGAAGTTCTCAAAAAAAGGAGAGGGATCCTTTCATGTATATTCTTATACCAATCTATTATAAATTTAAAGAGACTTCTGTTTTTAAAAACTAAATCAAAAAGTTTTAGAAAAGAGAATCTTGAAACTGGATGTCATATTTGTATTGTTTTTCCAGTATGTTTGATGTTGGAGGACAGAGAGATGAACGTAGAAAATGGATCCAATGTTTTAATGATGTGACAGCCATTATCTTTGTTACTGCATGTAGTGGCTATAATTTAGTGTTACGAGAAGACCCTAGCCAAAACCGACTTCGTGAATCTTTAGATCTATTTCGAAGTATCTGGAATAACAGGTAAAATTATCTCCCTTGAAGAAAGCAGCTTATGTTAAGATAAGTAATTTCCTGTCTTCACAGATTGTCCCAATCTAATTTCTTACTGATGAATCTTGATTATTTCTTCTAAATAAAGAATTTCTCCTGCTAAGTATGATATAAGATAACCAGTTCTATTCTTTGCAAAGGTTTCTTGAATTAGAACTTGAAAATGCTTGAATCATCCATTTTAACATCTGAGTGATCTTATAACTCTAGGAAGTTGGAAGTTTCTAAGTGGTAATTACCACATGATTTCTATGAGGTACATATAATGTCACATGTGTCTATCTATGATTCAGACTGGCTGGACAACAGTGTTGCGTCACAACTCAGTTGCTCACGATGTGGGAAATGCGGCTTCCCACTAATTTTATTGGTGTTAAATGCAATTTCCTACTGGAAAACTTCGCACTTAGCATTTTTCCAAGAGATCACGAATACAGCACTTGCAATTCATCTCTATTGTCCAGTAACATTTGTAAGATAAAAGTTGTCTTTTGTAACCATACTACTTAGAAACTTTGATATGTTTGACAAATTTCTATTTTACCAATGATATTTTTATATTGTAGATGGCTTCGTACTATTTCTGTTATATTGTTTCTTAATAAGCAAGATTTATTAGCACAAAAAGTTATGGGTGGTAGATCTAGGATAGAAGATTATTTTCCTGATTATGTCCGGTATCAAACGCCCTTTGATGGTAAGATGGCCCTTAGATTATATAGGTTAAGTTAGGTGATGAATATTCTCTTGTAAAAAGGGTATGCACTGTATTCACAATTATACAGTATAAATTGACACTCAAGAAGTAGTTTTTGCCTGGACAGAGATATCAATCTGCACGTTGTGAAAGGAAAAAAAGGAAAGGTATCATTCTTCTCCAAGAGAAAAAACAGATATATTGTATACTAGAAAAATGGCAGATAATGTAAAATCATTTGGCAGATACCCTTTTATATAAACAAAAAGATTTGGTTATGATAACAGCTTTTCTCAAACTATATATCTTTATGAAAATCAAATGATTATGCCTTTTGACTTGTGACAGAGCAGATAAATCACTTTTGCTTCTTGAGCTCCATCTCTCAATATTTTGTTTTATTTTTGTAGCTGTCAGTGAGGTAGGAGATGACCCTGAAGTTGTTCGTGCCAAGTATTTTATTAGAGATGAGTTTCTGGTAAGGATAACTGTTAACATTTTACTTCACAAACCCTTTACTTTTCAGTTAATAGTTTTCCATATTTTGACTCAAATTGTGCTTGAATTCTTAAGAATGATACTTGGTTGCTATCATTATACTTGTTTTGAAGAAATAGCATTTATATATTTGTGTCCCATTCTGTTCAATTCTTATAATTCCTAAGATCCATTTATTAATGCTTTAGCTTGTTCAATTCAGTTAAATTCATTTTATGTCGGTTTTATTTACAGAGAATAAGTACAGCTAGTGGAGAAGGTCGTCATTATTGCTACCCTCATTTCACATGTGCTGTAGATACAGAAAATATTCGGCGTGTTTTCAACGATTGCCGAGATATCATTCAGAGAATGCATCTTCGACAATATGAACTTCTGTGATGTATGGCCTACAACCAAATATGGCCTCTTTTATTTTACGTCGTGAAAACTTATTGTACCTGTTTACTAAAAAAAAATGACTGACTATTTCTTCAGCGTAAACAAGAATAAACAGGAGTAAGCAATCAGTGCAGTACTATTGGAAGGAATGGCAACTGGCCGATGGCACCAAGCCTTGTTTTCAATCAGTAACTGACACAAAATGACTATCTTAATGTACTTATACAAATCCACATTGTTGAAGACATTGTCAAGAAGAAGGTATTTATTACGGTTGTATTACAGTTAAAACTGTAATAATGAAATGGTGGCTCTGTGATCTAACATACTTGATTGTGTATCTAATCAATTTGGACTCATTACAGATCCCTGTGTTATTCTGGATTGTATAATTGATGAATCAAAGTTTGAGCATCTAGAATTCAATGTGAAGTATTTTTTATTTCCAATGGAGCTGTATTTGAGACACTAAGTATGCGTTAAATACAATGTTTAATGAATGTTTTGTTGCTCCTAATGTGAAGATGATATTTGTACTAAGATATATGGTACTACAAATTATTTGTTATAATTTTCTTGCTATGTGCAGGTTGTTTTATAACATTTGTAAATGTATGACCAGATTAATTGACATAATTGTAATTAGTTCATGCATTTTCCCTCTTGATTACACCTGTACAGTGCTGTCAAATTCCCCCTTATCCCTACCCCCAAAACCTATTTCCAACCTAAATTTTGTTTTTTAGCTTAGTATTTTCTCTCCATTGCTGATAACGCACAAAACCATTTCAAAATGTTTAATATATTTTTTCAATACCTACAATAGTTACCTAGGTTACTGGTTATAGAATATCAGGGGCAATTAATCAACAGGGCAAAACTTAATACTTAAAAATTTCACAAACTCTTATTGGGTCCAAATTCTATTTTATTTTCTGTGATATATTTTAAACTATACACTAGAAGGCCATTCGAGGTCTCAAATTATAAAATTACAATAAAAATATTTGGTTGTCTAAAGTTATCTGCAATGGAGAAGATTGAACTCCATGCCTCAGCTTAATGATAATAATAGTACTATGAATAGAATAACAAGTATTGTTATTTGTTATCTATTCAAGGCTTTCAATATGATGTCTATTAATTGTCTAATGAAGAAGATTCTGGGTGATTTTGCCATAGTAATGAATTATTATTGGGCCAATATGGCATGTTGCTCATATTATAGATAAAAATATAATCTTGGTTTTTATGATTATTCAAATCAATTCAAATTGTACATATCTTGTGCTATGGCCTCAAACTATGGATGATTTCAGAAATAGTTGATGGCAATTTTATTCCTTTCTATCAATTCATCTTCTGTAAATTTAATTATTTATTACATTTTCAATTTTTAACACTTTTTCTATTTTTTGTTCTTTGCTATGTTTTGTCTACTACTGCTATTTTGTGATCAGTGAAATGAATTTCTAAACTATCATTGTTATTAATAAGGCTAATTGTTCTTGAATTGTGTTCATTGCTATATCAAATTGGGATTCCTGCTGTAATGCTGTATCTTTAACCACTTAGTATCAGAAAAAGTAGTATCTCTGACCTCTGTGCAAAAAAAAAATTCTTATTAACCAGGAACTAATTTGCTACTGAATTTTGTCAGTTTTGATACATGCAAACACAGATGTCATACTTTTTGGTAATATTAATGATTAGATTATAATTTTGACTGTTTTGATTTATCCTGAATTATGACATGCATGTAATTGCCATGTTTGGATTGGATATATTAAATTATTTGTAATGTCAAGATTTCTGAAACATATTCAGTTTGTTGTTGTAATGCAGGGTAAAAAAAACTGCTCACTATACATACAAATATATGGTACCAGTAATAAACAAAAGTGATAAAAAATGAAAATTATCTTTGTGAAATCAGCTTGGAGATACTCAGTGGTTAGAGATAGCTCTAGTTAATTTTTAATTGACAATTCTATTGATATACATGTTCATCATATAAAAAGCAGGGTCAATATATGTGTATTAATTTCATCTCTTCAATTAGTTATTCTTATTATAGTGGTTGATTTCATTTATATCTGATTGTACAATTATTATTTCACCCCAAATATTGTAACTCTATCTGTTTCTCAGTTTCAACTAATTTGAGTATCTCTTCAGAAAAAAAATGAAATTGATATCTTGAAATTTTGTGTTAAAAGTTCAAATATTGTAAAACAAAGACCTAGATTAGTAAGGGATTTTGGATATTCACCCTAAAAGACTGTTCTGGTTTCAAAACATTAATAATCCCATTCATCATATAGATTAACAATTAAACAATAAATTAAATAATAACTGTCGTTATTCAGTGGTTATTGTGCTGTTTAAATTCATTCTTACATAGTAAAAGAACTTGTGTTCGATGCAGAATTTAAAAATTTCTGGAAAATATCTGCTTCATTGGAATTTTTTTGTCATTTTCAATACTCTGCTGGTTAAAAATGAAGAAATTTTTATTGAACCAGTCTTGTGAAAGTTGGAAATTCTAGGAAAACAACCAAGTAATGTCTGCTTCCAAGATTTGGCATCATCTAAGATGGAATAATGCTTTAGCAGAAGTACACAGATTTCTTTTCAGGTTACATGAATTCCTTCATTTTTATATTCTTTGCTTCATTTTCTGAACAAATTGAATTCTTTTTTTTTGTGAAAAAATTATGCTCATGTTTATAAATTGAGAATTATATTATTTATCATAATAGTGGTTTGTTTACGAGGGGTTTGTTTCACAGTGACTTGGTATTTTTACAACTTTGGCCTCATCTTGTTTAAAGAATTAAAGTGTTGGATTTATGACAAATCTTCAATTTAGTATCAGTAATCAGGAAAAAATCTCGAAACTTATTCAGCAGAGAATAGAAATCAACCTCACAGCTCTTTAAACCTGGTACAAATCAGTTATAAGTATAAAATGAAAATCTGCTAATATATTGTGAAACATACCCCTTTTCAACCTAATAACAATGATATATTTTATTTGTTGTTATTTGTCAGGTTTTTTAAAATGAAATAATAAAAGTGTGTTATTCATACTACATAATAAATAATTCTCTATTCTATATTTTATTATTTTCATACTTATGTTTACCCTTGTAAAAATATCTTATCAGTTGATTTTCGAGGCTTGGCTAACACTTACAAGAGATTTAGGTGCATGGCTTAAATGGTCCTCAGGATCGTTGAAATCAAAGCCATGCTGATCTATCTTTGTATGTGTTGCAAACCTGCTATCTAGTGTCTGCATAGATTCTACTGATACTTGTGTTTAAGCACTACAAAAGACAAAAAACCTCTTGAGTGAGAAGGTGCCTCAAGTTCAGTCAGACTCTATGCTACTGATAAAACAGTTCAATACTCTGATATGGACAAAAAAGACCCTAACTTCTATAATTAATATAATCATCATGCTACTTTAATTCATTTCTTTATAAAACGTTTGCATTTAGCTTCTTTGAAGTTACTTTAAAAAAACATTTTTGTCCATATTCATTTCAACAGAATTGTGTAAATTCTTAGTTTCAAAATTTAAATTTGATTTTTAGCGATTTTTAAATGTCATTTTGATTGTACAGATATTGTACAAAGTGAAGTGATATTATTTCAAGCCTTATTCAGTTCTGCAATAGGAAAGATTTTGAAATGTAAAGAAGTCTAACTTCTAAAAGGAATAGTTAAAACTAGCATAGTCAGGTTTCTAAGTGTCTTATACAGTTGTATCAAACTCTTCAAAACTTGTCCCTCCTTTCAACCATAAAATCTCATACTTCTAGCCACAATATTCTATACAACAGTCCTATTTCAGAACTGAAATCTTTCTTTTTTCAATCAAATGTTTAATTATTTTCTGCCTGTGTTAATTGTTAAGTATTTTTTTGAAAATGTAACCAATATTACTGTGTTATAGTCAAAATCTCCTTCACTGTAACAGAAATGGTAGAGAAAATTTCCTAATAAAATCATGATGCAGAATTTGTTTTAATTTCAAGACTAGTGAGTCCCTTATTTGACTCATTTGTCATTGGCACTGCTGCTGTTTCAAAATTCCCCAAGCCCAAGACATTGTTAAATATTGCTTTTTTGTGTATTGAAGCATCAATCGAGCTTGAAAAAATAATTTGGGGATAATTTTGAGACAACCAATGCATAAGAGATATTTTTCACATCATAACCAAGAGTGGCAACTGAAACTAGGCTTGCTAAAAGTCATTGCACAGGCTACCTTCAGTTCAGGAATAGTTTAGACTGACTTTCCTATGAGGTAGAATTATTTCCATGTCCAAATTACTATTAACAGATTTTGTAGTGATGTAATATCGATGTCCCAACTTTGACTTTGAAGTCAGTTCACCTTAATGGTGTCCAAGGGTAATGATTGGAAAACATGTTAAGGAAATTGGACTTTGTATTGGCTGTCCTAAAATATGAAGCCTCTTGTCTTTACTACACTAAAGTAAATACGACCCCGCTTAAGTCATGATACAGTAGGCCTACAATTAGTCTTGGACAGAATGCTGTTCATTGGATGGACGTTTCGCAAATGGCATCTATGCGAAGTTTTTGTACACTTCCGTTTTAGAATTTGTCTTTTGAAAACCGATTGGTGTGAAAACTACCTCCTTCAATCAATGGAAGGGAGATAATTCACACTTCGTAAATGAATAATATCACAATACTTAAAAAGAGGCTATAACGGCAGACGTCTGAAGTGGACTGTTCAGCCTACATTTTGCAAAGTTCTGGATTGTCAAGGAGTGTTGGTGCATGAGCTAGTGATTGATATGGAGGTAATTTCCAGATTGCAATTTGATCTTTCATCTTCGCTATGTGGACAGATTTGTTATATTTCTTATTACTGGTGGGAATTGAAAAGGGTCTCATAGGCTCATCTTTTTTACCATTTAAATTATATTGAGGCTTTCAATATATTTTATACAGATGCTGTGATGTATTAAGGTCAACTTCTTTTCTTGAACTATTGGGCTCATCTCCTTTGCAAAGTTCTGGATTGTCAAAGACATTCTTTCAATTATTCCATCACAATTTCATTAGATATCATTATGGCAACTGAGAACACTATCAATTGGGTTAAAATATATCGAATGGGAAGTTAATTTGGACCAAAGTTGTAATTGACTGTTAAATACAACAGGTATTTTTTTGTACTTATAGTTATGTATCAGATAAAAACAATATAGGAAAAATAAAAAAAATAAAAAAGTACAACTAAAGCATTTATTATCGAAATTTGTTTGAATTATACAATTATATACAGAAATATAACAATTATCACCAGTTAGATAAGTCAACATTCCATTTAGTGACCTCTAGCAAAACATAGAATAAATGTGGCCCCTCCTTGGATGTGTATCCTCAAAGATTGGAATGCTTCAGTCATAAGCCAAAGTCATAGTTAGGTTCCCCTGCTTGATAAGATTTGACAAAAGTCAAATGTGATTCTTTATCAAACATGGTAGCTTTAACTGCTGGTAGTTCATACATTCTGTTGATATAGGCTAATATCAAAGGAAAGTTGGCAGCGTCAAGTTTAAAATCCACCATCTCTAACAGTTGAAATCTCTCAAACCACGGCCATACAGTAAAATCTACCATATTTGGTTTATTACCTAAAACATACAAATTATCTTTGGTGGTGAAGCAAAAGCCAATTTACGTTTATTTGATCAGCAGGAGAAAATTGTACCTGAGTCTTTCAAGATGGAAAGGTGATGTAGGCAGAAGGGGTTACCAATGGCACTCTCCTCCAGAAGTACAATTGGATTCTTTCACAATATTTCTATTAGACTGAGTCAAAGTTTCTGCGCATACCAACTAAGAGCTCTCTCTAAAGGACACATAAAAAGTATTAAGAATTATCAATTAATGTCTGAAGAAGTACTTTCAACTTGTGCATGTTGTATTGAAATTGAAATAGTCATTTGACTTAGAGTTGATATAGCTTGAGGGGTATCTACTCTTTCACATTACATACCTCCAAAGTAATTTCCTCTCTGTTTCAAGGCTTCTTCATATCTCTTTAACTCTTTAACAAATTCATCTGGACCATCAATATTCCTCAGGAGTTTAAAATGGGCTGCTGTTACCTACAATTCAATTTGTCAAATAACTTGGAACAACGTAACGTTACCCATCTCAGTAGCTCATCTGCAGCAAAGAAGCAAGACTAAATTGTTTCATGTTATTTCAATGTGTCTGCCGAATCAGATATTATCTTATCTGAATTGAGACTGTTCACAATACCTTGAGACCAACGTTTGTACTTATACCATGAATGATACATTTGGTAATTTTGAGAGCAGACAGATATCAAACTGCTCCTGTATTTGAGAACCATGACACAGCGCATCAGGTGATCTTTTAAACATTACAAAATCAAGTTCTTCATCAACAGAGTATTGGCCATGCAGCTCATATTTACCTTTCCAAAGGTATCAATAAGGATCTGGTCACGAGCTTTTTGATAAGGATCAGTTGAAATGAGTTTTTCACCAGGGTAAGCTTCATCTAGATAAACATTACAGATATTACTTTCATATACAATCTTATCTCCTTGTTCTAAAGTTGGTACCAGACCAAAAGGATTCCTCTCCAAGAACCATTCTGGTTTCTTTTTTAAATCTACATTGACTGTTTCATGTCTGAAAAGTAAAAAATCATCCACCTTTAGAATTTGAGTATTTAAAGTTTTTGATATAGAACATTATGGACAGTGTTTAATATAGAATATTATGGACAGTGTTTAATATAGAATATTATGGAAAGCGTTTGATATAGAACATTATGGAAAGTTTTTGATATAGAACATTATGGACAGTGTTTAATATAGAATATTATGGAAAGTATTTGATATAGAACATTATGGACAGTGTTTAATATAGAATATTATGGAAAGTATTTGATATAGAACATTATGGACAGTGTTTAATATAGAATATTATGGAAAGTATTTGATATAGAACATTATGGACAGTGTTTAATATAGAATATTATGGACAGTGTTTAATATAGAATATTATGGAAAGCGTTTGATATAGAACATTATGGAAAGTTTTTGATATAGAACATTATGGACAGTGTTTAATATAGAATATTATGGAAAGTATTTGATATAGAACATTATGGACAGTGTTTAATATAGAATATTATGGAAAGTGTTTAATATAGAATATTATGGAAAGCGTTTGATATAGAACATTATGGAAAGTGTTTGATATAGAACATTATGGAAAGTTTTTGATATAGAACATTATGGAAAGTGTTTAATTTAGAATATTATGGAAAGTAACATCTGCTGATCTGATTACATTTGACTGCAGATCACACCAAACTTTAAATTTAACGGCTTGAAATGCTATTTGACTTCATACAACACAATTTCTGTTCAACTCAACTTACGGGATTTTTTTGTGTTGTAGCACCAGTCGTGTTCTCTGGGCAAAAGGACAGAATCTCATACTGTATACTCTGAGGACTCCATCTGCCAGCGGTGGGTAAGTCGAACCTAAAGTACAAAGATAAAGAAATACTAATAATTCTATGAATATATTATGCTGTTATCTGAAATAAAATCTGCACTGAGGTTTGCCCTGAACTAAAAAGACAAATATATTTCAGATATCAGATACCATTTATTTATAAATTTATCGTGTTCATAAGTTTAATCAATCCAACGCTGATTTTGATGATAGTGAAACGAGGTCCATAATCAAGTGAAAATGATACACAGATTTGATAAAGAATTTTTTCTTGCGCCTATAACTCTATTCTCTTGTTGCATTATATAAGTGAAAGTACCATCAAGTGTTTCTAAAAGAGTAAGCATGATGCTTCGAGCGTGACACTCACTACTACTATGGTCAAAATCATGAGATACAACCAGATCATTCATGCCTGACTAAACAGAAAGCATATACAACTTGATATTATCTCCTCAGTATAAAATTCGTTTAGTCATGATAACTTTATTTCGACCAAAGAGTAACGTATATAATAACTTTATGAATACGACTTTGCACAAGTAGCCTAGATGTAGCTTATTAGGCCTACTGCTAGAAATACGATGACAACACAACATAATCTTACCTGTTGCAAAAGATTTCTGTGTCATAGCCATTTTAATAATCTTGTCCAGCTTGATCTAAATTCACAAGCTAGATGCTTTTTATATGAAATATATTTGTTATCAATCTTTGTACTGATAGTGTCTCGATTATGGAGTCTTTATGTTGTGGTTTTATATTGATAGACTATTATATCCAGACGTACATACATATTCTAGAATTTCTTTTCTTTTTTTTCAATTTTAAGAGAAATATTTAAGTCATCATGATATAGCATAAAATCAACATTGCATGTTATTTAGGAAATATAAATTTACTGAAAACAAAAATTAAACAGTGGGTAACCTCGATAGGAAGAGGAGAAATACTTCCAATGGCCCTACTGGGGAAACAAAGCCAGCTTCCTTCGAGAGGTGAGGGATCCCATTGAAACGACACGGCATAATTTTCCCACATAGAGAGATGTCTGTGGAGGTACAGGTGCAAGAAAGTAAAATAGTGATAGAGCTATATAGCCTACACGACATAGTGATAGAGCTATATAACCTACGTGACATAGTGATAGGGCTTTTATATAGTAAATCGGGGACATATCTAGAAAATGCAAAAGGGGGAAGGGGAGAAGTGTCTCTTCGGGCCGAGGCCCCCAGAAACTAGAGACGATTTTTTTTAGTATTTACAGTACTTAATTATCACTTCAAAATGAGATCCTTCGAAGGCCCCAGATAAAGTCATAGCCCAATGACCCACCCCCTAAATAGCCACTGGTGTAAATGTAGTGAATAAAGAAAGCACAGTTCTTCTATATTTTGATTCAGTAAACAAGAAGAGAAATATAGAATTTTATTTATTAGATACAACAACTATAACAGTCATTCTGAAACAATCTAGACATTAATCTCAACACAGTAAGAAATAAAAAGCAAGTCTCCATTAATTGGCATTGGGCATCATATCATAAAATCCCGTGAAATTACTCTTAAAAATGCTTCTAGATAACGAATTCAAAGATGAGATTTATTTTGAGAAGTTAGTAAAGATAAGTTTACAATCCATAATCATAATTAGGTACTGGATCGGATAAATAAGATTTCATAAATCCTTCATGAGATTGGTCATCCATCATGGCAGCTTTAACAGCTGGTACTTCTTTCATTCTTTTGATATAAGCTGTCAGACAGGGAAATTCACTTGGGTCTAGTTTATGTCCTCGGTTTTCCAGTAAAACAAATCTTTCAAATAGTGGCCAGATTGTATAGTCAACCATATTTGGTTTATTTCCTGCAAATATAACAAAAAAAAATTAAATAAATAATAAAATCGAGAAAAATGGTGGTTGAATGCTATCGTGTTAACATCTGCTAGTCAGACGGTCACGTTGATTATGATGAGATTTGCTAGAAGAGAGTTGCCACTCCAACCTCAAGGTTTGGTCAGTTACAAGTTTCTTTGAACAATTTTCACTTTTCAAGGGAAGTAACTGCTTCTAGAATATCTGGAAAGGTCACTTTACCTCCAAAATAATTTCCTCTTTCTTTTAACGCTTGTTCGTATCTTTTCAATTCTTTAAACAGGTCCTCCTTATTTTCTCCCGAGGCAACCACTTTGAAAAATATACCACTTATCTGTAATATTTAGGACCTTTATGATTATTTTGGATTGGACATCACGAAGCCCTGGTATTGGTCGACAATTTTGGCACATCTGGCTAGGATGGTTGTAAAAAAATTGGCAAAAAATTAATATTACCTGAAGCTTTCAATGGAAAAGTATAAAAACTTCAAGGATGTGATCATTTTGATCGATCTATGCAGACGAGAGTTATGGTTGGTCGTGGATCACAGGCTGACTAAAGCAATATAGCTTACCCTTCCAAACGTGTCTATAAGAATCTGATCACGAGCTTTTTGATAAGGATCAGTTGAAATGAGTTTTTCACCAGGGTAAGCTTCATCTAGATAAACATTACAGATATTACTTTCATATACAATCTTATCTCCTTGCTCTAAAGTTGGTACGGTGCCGAAAGGATTCTTCTCTAAATACCAATCGGGCTTCTTTTTAAGATGGATGTTGACGATTTCAAATCTGAAGAAAATAAGTCATCATCATTGAACTGACATAGGCGCAGAGTTCTATGATCTGGGAGTTTTGGGGTACGCGAATGGTATTCAAGTTACGGAGTAATCGAAACAGAGGAAAATAGAAGAAGCGAATACAAGGATATGGGTACCAAGATGTATTAGCCCAGGACGGTGTTCATGATGTTTCAATGATTGGCAGACCTGACAGGTGTGTCAAGTGCCCCTGATTTGGTGCCAGTATTCTTCTGAAAACCGTGGTTAGCATAATCCGCGTAAGCCATTACATGGAATAAGTGTTGTTTATAAAAGCACATACTGGGCATTAAAATCTTGCCTTTGCAAGAAATTTGATAGAAGCCAAATCTAATTCAAACTTACGGTATGTTTTTGTGGTGGAGTACAAGTCTTGTACGATGAGCAAACGGACAATATCTCATACTATAAATCCTTAAAATATCGTCTTTTAGCGGTGGACAAGTGGATCCTGCAAAACAATACTTTGGTGTTAATGATTATAATAACGCCAGTGAGTGTGCCAATCTTCAAGCATTCTGGACACGATATAATCGTATAAGGGACTACTACAGGTCTGTTGATGTATATCATAGTGTTTGCATTAACATCGTTCAAAGAATTTTCATTGTTATTTGGTCTTGGCATGTACATCTGAAATGAGTTTCTGAAATCTGTTTGTGGGAATTCACCAAACTGATAGTTGTTGATGGTAGCCAAATCTATAAGCGACAGTGCCATATTTGCACTTTTGAATAATTAACCCAATGGAGTTATATGTTATTAGACTAGAGGATATATTTGGAGGCAAGACATCACCCGTGGTTTAAGATAAGATCTATGCCAATGCATGCAGCATTTTTTTTTTGCGTAGTTATATAATTAGGTCGCAAGGATAGAATGGATAACCCATTGTACTATTTATATATCTCAGATCTTTAGCGTGAAAGTGAAATATCGCGAATCAGATAACAAATATACAATGTCAAGATTATGTAGCATCATAAATCCATAAGCTTAATAATAAAACTTTGTTTCAAATGGCTTGTTATCATTAAGCTTGATTTTATACGTGAAAGAAACCAAAAGTAGGCCATTATCACCGGTATATCATTGATATTGACCTATATTATTCGTAACCGGACATTATAAATTGTAAACTGAAAATTTAAGGGCAAAATTCAGCAACTTACCCGATTCGAAGGCATTCTTAGTCATAGCCATTTTGAAACGATTTGCTTATACAATAATGTTGTTCAGTTTGGCTTTGATTATTATGTTTTTCCAACCGTAAATGGATGCGACGCGATTGTCCAGTGTTACATTTTGATGAAACAATAGACGAGATTAATATAGTCATCTCAGAAATGTATTCCAACGGTTCAGCATGACTCAGCCAGTTGTATTCAACATAATTTCACATTTAATCGGCTGTTGGTATCTTAACCATCAAAGCTTTAACATTTTTTGTCGGCTTTTATTAAACTGTTGTCTGTTCTGTTCATAGTATGGGGGTATGCCACAGATCAGTTACTTTCTCTTTACTAAAAGAAAATTAACACAGATCACAAAGGTATCTTAGAACTACTGACTTACTTCCCTTTCAATGTATATAATGCTTAAGTTGAAGAAATTATTTGTGTCCAGATCGCTAAGGTATCATTAGTTAAGATATTCCTGGCAAGCAGCATAATAGAAGCCTATATGTTTAAAGATCTACCCGATTTCCAGCACGTCCGCATTTAATTGCTTTTAGATGTTCCTCGCATTACATTGATTATTATATTGATGTAAGAACAAGTGAGAAATAATGAAAGAAAAGTCAGAAATAAAATCTTTTAGTGCATGAAGGACTCAGCATAGTAGGTCTTTGGTCAACAAATTACCAAATTTACAGCATTTGGCAGTGATATCAAACAAAGGAGAAATATATATATGGAATATTTTGATAGAAAATCGTTCTTTTATTTTTAGAAAAGAGGATACTGTTATCAGCTATCTGATTTCTTTTAGATTGGAAGTGAACGTTTTGAACTACTACTGCAAAGGAATCGATGTAAAGTTTTCTGTTAGTTTTCAGATAAAGTAGTATAAACGAACTTTTCAATAGAACTTCTAAATATATCTTAAGAAAGGAAGTTACTTTATAGATGTTAAACGGTTCTAAATGATGTGTATAATTCCTGTCATCCATAATATCTCCTGACGTATACCAAACACACCACCATTACTGTCTTTCTCTTCAACAGAGGCACCCGTCTCCCACGCGTCGAAAACATTCAGGCCTCGAAATCTCCTCTCATAAATCCACGATTTTCTGCGTTCTTAATTCACAGCATGGTGCCAAATTTTGTTTGGAGCATGCGCAATGGTATTAATTTGCAGGCACTATGGAATAATAAAGTGAGAGTTGTTTATTGTTAAATGCCTGTATAAATAAAGTTGAGAGTATTTTTACACAGAAATTAAGCTTCATTAGTCTTGATGTTCGGAACATAAATTAGCAGGAATTAGGAAACTTATGAAAAATGCATCGTGATAAATATGAAGTACAGCCCGACGCCAGTCCAAAGTAAGTTTTAATGTTTCCTTTCTTTGAAGAAGTTTTGGCACCATAATGAGAATGGTTAGATTTAGGATATGAAATGTCTTAATCATGTAACTGTATACAAAATGTTTCAAATATGATACAACAGAGTGTAGATTGATATTGTAAAGATAACTCGATGATACAGTGGAAGTTAAAAAGTTTAAAACTTTTTATTATCTCTATCTGACGAGAAACATTAACAAATTCTCTGTTTAAAAGACGTCTGAAAGTTAAGATATTAATCGAGCATTTCCTGGGTTATCAGCCTTCAGTATTTGAGAAGTACTTTCGACAGTAGTGAAGCTATGGTTGGAACGATTTGCCATGCGCTTTATGCCTTGGTCTAATGTAGGGCTGTAGCCTGGTATCCTTTCCTTAGGACTTAGCTAACCTATCTCTCACACTTTTAAACACATCGAATAACAAAGAATGGAACGGAACGGAGTGTATTTATTTTGCGTGAGGTTGAAGGGAAAACTATTCATACGGAAACAGGCCTCAATGCAATTTCAGTCTGTCAAATTATGAGTTAATGTTAATATAAACAATTAAAATATCGGAAGGAAAAGGTTCCTTGCAATAAATTTTCAGTGGGTTGGGAATTTGAGCTAACGGTATAGTTGGTAAAAAAAACTTGCCCTTCACACCATTAATATAATGATCATAACTCTTTGCAATAATTAATGTTGTCATAAAACTTCACATAGCGCTTGATATGCATAAGATGGCATTTTTATTGTTTAGGATAACTACATGGGACGTCCCCTTACTGTTATTAACCTCGCCTTAAGTCTTGGCAAATACAAATGCTTTCAATAAAATGCTTTCGATGTATATTTTATCATAACACATCGAATGATAAATCATATTCTTACGATGGAATGATAACTGCAGTTATAAACAAGTTAAGGTGCCAAGGTGGCAATATAAATCTGGTAAGAGTCTGTCAATACGTTCTATTAAAACATAAACATTATAAATTGTTGGTCTATCTCAGAAAGGTTCAACCATGTATATATATCATATTACACTAGTCTGCTACAGAAGCTCATCAAATGCTTGATAAACAAATACTTCCAATAACTCAAGTACCAGCTGTTTTTACTAGATATTTAACAAGGTAATTTTTACACATATACATACCTGCCTTTGTTCTGTTACAATAACAAAACATATGGAAAGGTTCACCATTTTCTCTTTCTATTTCTATGTCTTTTCTATATATAGCAGAGTCTAAAAAAAGACGTCATCTCTTTAACTGTCTCGGATAATTCTAGATACACATAGATTTGAAGGCACAAATTTCGACGGTGAGCCGCGAACACTATTATTGATCCAGCTTGGCTTTAAGAAAAAACGTTTCTGAGATTAAGGTACGATTGGTCCAATGGATGGCGAACCTGTTCCTTTCAAAAAAGCAATACAATGTAATATAATTTGGGGTAGGGTATAGGGTAGTCGAAGAACTGGAACCATTAATTTTCCTCTTAATTTTCGGAAACCTTGGAAACGAACATTTATAATAGCGTTTATTTCCATTTCCCCCTTTATTTGTGTATTTTAAACTGTATCTCATCGTCATGGTTTTGTATTATGTAGAAAAGAACCAACTCAATCAACTCATGACTAATTTGCACTCCTGCATGTACTATCATTTTCATTAGAATATGCTGTGCTAAAGGCCTATTCAATATTTTACAAATTATCTGCATATCTGACTTTGTACTGAAAGTAATTATGAAAATGTGAGCCACATTAGAGTTTTTTTCGGGTATATCTGAAACAGTGAGTGCATCATGTTGTCTGTGTTGCTCATATAATATGACCTACTTTAGATTTTTTTTTTTTTGAGTCAAGTTATCTCCCTTGAGAAAAAAAAATATATTAGTTATACTTGACGTTCAACGGCAACCTTCATTCATAGAAACATAATGCCAGTGATTATGTTTTACTGTAATTTTACTTCCGTAAAGTATAGGTATAGGTACTAGTAACCTTAGTGCCTTATAACTGGCGACTGAGTGTAAATAGGCTAGCCTACAGCACATTGCCAGAGTTTCATTGTGTGAAACATGGTATACAGATTTCAAACAGATAATGATAACCATAAACCAGAAATAAAACTATATTTCATTTTTTAAAAGTTGCTTAAAAAGTGATTTTCAAGTCTGTGATAGTCAAGAATTACAGATACTACACACTACTTCAAAATTGGCAGAAAAATGGATGTTTATTTTTGCAGTCAACAACACCTTTCCACCTTTTTACCTTTAACAACCCAAATTCATCGATGTGGTTAAGGATGAGCTGTGACACTCCCCTCGTCTTACTTTAATCCTAATGATTATAGATGGTTGGTTAAGTTGGATAATTTAACGTCTGCTTCTAGCTTAAGACGATATCGGAGTTGCAGTCAACAAGATGTGTCCTTTCACCTGATTCGCCAGGATGTAAGTGATCAAAGCGAATTACCAGACGCCCGATAAATTACCAAAAACAATCAATCATATATTCTGTACTTAGTGGAATCTTGTATTTCTCGATCTTTTCGCCAAATCATCTATATCTATGACTATGAGAGCGCTGGACCTTTTCCGAAATATTGACAATGGGTCGATCTAAAATACTTACAGTTCGACTTGAAATAAGGGTATTTCCCAGTACAATTTGAGGATTAACTGTTGAAGACTGAAATTGATCTTGATTCTGTCATTGCATCGTTGTATTCGACTAGATAAAAAAATATCTGTGCTAGTCAGTAAATGGTATTATTGGAGAAATATTTGTTCATGGTTTTCGCATTTCCGAATATTGCAAATTGTGCTGAAGTTGAATTTTATATTGAAATAAGTGAATCCTTCAGTACTGCCTACCTAACATCAAATCAAACGTACCTAGATCTCATCAAATATTTAGAAAGTTAATAGAGATAATATAAAGTATCAAATTTAGGAAGCCACTTCCGTTCCCATGGTTACAGCATAACCTGATCAATGTAAGAGAAATAATTTGATTAAATATATACATTTCCCTTAATCTGTGCCTGACTACATATAATGTCGGGAATTTCAAATTATAAAAAGTACCAGCTTAAAATAACAATTTACCGAAATAAGTATCTCCAACATTCCAAATACAGCATCTGCATTTTATTTGGTTCAACTTACCACCAATTTTTTTCTTTAAACTCATTCTAAACCGAACATTTGTTGCATTCAAGGGAAAAAAGGTTGAAACAGTCCTAGTTGTTAAATGTTAGAAATCTAAAAAAAAAAAAAAAAATACAGAAAAAGAAAAGCTAGAAACATGTGCACACATATTTAAAATTCAACAGCAACTCTATCAATCAATGGTACTTACTCGATAATACTTATCTTAAGTTGTTACTCATGCTGAACCTTTCGACTATTAAGTAGTGCATGCCACATTTTCTGCAATAAATCCAAGGGCAGCAATAATGCTACTCACAATCTCACTTGTATTTATCTGAACACTGACATACCATTCCAGAGGTGATCCCGGCATTTTCAATTAACTTTCACTCATCTTTTTCCCTTTCCTGATTGAAAAAAAAAACATTTTCAAAAGTGCTCAATATGTGTACAGCAATTTTAGAGCGCTAGAGAAATATCAAAACAGATTCTCAAACATATCGTTACTCACGTTACTGTTCAATCTACAGACAACAACTGAC